TTTTCATGTTTCATAGCAATGCTGGGCTTGCCTGGGTTAATTTATATAGTAAATGAAAGCTTATATATATTTGTAAAGTATGAGCAAGATTTGTAACAAATGTCTTGGCTATATTTAGGATAACCAACCAAGAACTATCACTAGTTTTATACTTAAACGATAAAATATAAAATCCCGCAGATTCACTGAAGTAATGTGAAAACAATCCTGGGCTTGTGTCTAGCATTTTTTGACAATAAAAATGTAATTGTGTTTTATACATATTAATAATTAATATTAATATTATTGGGAAGATCATATATTGTATCTGTATATCATTGTAGGAATAAATTAATTTTCATTAAACAGGCCTACACTGGTTGTGAGTTAAACTGTGTTAGTTTAAAATGTTGCTTACTTGCCTATTTTTTATACCAGATACAAAATTAATCATTTTGGTTAATTATCCTTAAATTTAATATTGATTCTATTTGTTTTGACTTTTTTCAGAGGGAAAAAACCTGCCTTTGTGGACAGTGGGGAGGAAGTTCCACTCAATGGGGATGAAAATCTTGTTGAATAGATAACTTACTCTGTATTATTAAAGTAATCGTAAAATGAGGAATTTTTGAGGGAATTGTTTGTTGAAAGTTAAAGATACGAGGCATTTTGAAATGTAAATGAGTTATGTAAATCTTCAATATAAATCTATTTAGACAAATTACCTCTTGTGTTTTATTTTTAATTTCAAAGAATTCTGAATTCTACGTACTGAATAGTAATAATATGTAAAATTGTAGGGTTGAAAACTAAAATAACTCATGTTTTCCTGCTCTTTTATAAAAATAAGTTTTTAGATGGTATCTCGCTTTTTTATTTGGAGAAGTGTCTTGGCATTTAACAACTAGAGGCATTGAAGTTATTAGATTATGTTGTGATTGTGAAAAATTATCTGAAATATTGGAAGATTATATTGTGCTATGCATCTCAACCTAAAAAATATGAAATTTTTATTACATGTGTCAAGACTGTGTGAATCCTGGTAAAAGCATATGAATTAAATTTTCAGAAATAAAAAGAGCTTGTAAGTGGCTAAAAAAGAATTATTTCTTGTACTCTTCAATTTATATTCAAATTAGATGTTTCAATTTTTCAATCGACATGGTTTAGCCCCTGAGCTGAATTGGTGACTAATATAATATAAATACCTCGTCACAGCTCTGTAGTTTCTGTAGATTACAGCTATTTTGGCATCAAAATGCCATCATCAGATATACATACATCCACCTGAATTGGCGTCGTTAAACTGTACACATACACGAACACGATAAAAACACGTAAAACAAGAGACAGGCCTGTCGCGTACATGATTGCTACGAGTACGGAAGCTGACCGTACTCGTAGCAATCATGTACGCGACAGGCCTGTCTCTTGTTTTACGTGTTTTTATCGTGTTCGTGTATGTGTACAGTTTAACGACGCCAATTCAGGTGGATGTATGTATATCTGAGGATGGCATTTTGATGCCGAAACAGCTGTAATCTACAGAAACTACAGAGCTGTGACGAGGTATTTATATTATATTAGTTTCAATTTTTATTCAAATTAGAAATTTCAAGTTTTATTAAAATTGGATATTTCAAGTTTTATTCAAACTGGAAGAGCGGGAACTTCGACGTATGATTTTAACTTGAATCAAGTTTACAAACCCGATCCTTCAAGTTTGCAGATTTGACAAACCAAACTTATTTCAAGCTTGAATCAAGTATTTTTTCAATTTATATTTAGATTAGATAGTTCAAGTGTTATTCAAATAAGATGTTTCAATTTTTATTCAAATTAGAAATTTCAAGTTTTATTCAAATTAGATGTTTCAAATTTTATTCAAACTGGAAGAGCGGGAACTTCGACGCATGATATTAACTTGAATCAAGTTTACGGACCCATCCGAGCAAACTTGATTCAAGTTTGCAGATTTGACAAATCAAACTTGTTTCAAGCTTTAATCAAGTATTTTTTGCTATCTGGGGTGTGTTGCCAGGATTTATGGTGAAAATATTAAAAAAAACATGTTTTCCATAAGAAATATATTTAAAATGGGAAGTTTCTAATTTTTAATTGGAGGCAACTTTCGGCTGCCTTTATTGAGTATTTTCAAGAAATGCACAATAGTAATTTGTAGCAAATTTTACTCTCTTTCAGAATATTACCTTCCACGTCGATTTCCTAACCATTTGAAAGTTATTTAAAAAAAAAATGTAAGCAATCTCTGAGTTTAAGTGGTGATTCAGTTATTCTAATTAATTGATTTAAGTTCTAAATTCAGCATTAGACTCTTGACGTGTCATTTTAAAATCAAACAACATTTAACGCGCAAGTTACGGTATCTGTCTACGGAGGAACCCTACGCCTGTGCGCCTACAAAATTACTTCTCTGTGCCTACACTGTCCCTGTCCGAAATAGGGATGCGTATGGACCTATGGACGGACAGTCTTGTCAAGAAGTCAAGTACTGGACGAGTTGAACAGTTAAATAAATCAACAACGACAACAACTGGGCCTAGTAACTGGACCGAACAACTCGCATGACGCATACTCGACCCGTGTTGTGTTTATATATCGATGTGTAAACCATGGAGTAGCGGATTTTTATCCCCCTGGAATTTTACCCCCTGGGCGAACGTGACGTCACAAACCAAGGGGTAAAATTCCGGCCGCGAACTTTTGAGTTTCACGACATCAGTTCGATGGATTAAACGCTAATTCCGCGTATATTTTCACGGTTGTGAATTTAATCAGAACACACCAAATTATGAAAACCTAGAGTGTACGGGCCGGAATTTTACCCCCGGATTTTTACCTTATGAGGTCACGGACTTTTTCATGAGGTCAGCTCAAAATGTACGGCCCGGATTTTTACCCCCTGGCCAGATAAATGAGTGAAAATGGTTAATTATCTTAATTAAGTTTTAATTTAATGGTAAACACTTTATTATTAATTAGCCTATCTTAATTTATTTGTAACATCAACTAATCAAACAGGTAGTGATGTAAAATACCTGAATATTTAAAACTCGGGGTAAATACCCTGGGTATTTACCCGGGTAAATACCCATAATCCAGAAATACCCGGGTATTTTGGGTATTTATGAAATCGATTGAAATTAATTCATATTTACCCCTAAATATGTTATTGTTATCATTACATGATAAATTAGGATAGTCTATAACACCTTTTACAGTAACTTGAAGCTTTGCTAGTACCTTTTATTGAATGATTTAGCACTTTTTTGTTATGAAATCAAGACAACACCTCATCAGAGAAATAGTGAATCTAAACCTACTTCTACTGTTATTAAATTATGATAGTTAAAATTTGTATTGTGTAAATGGCTTGGAAGGCTAGACAGACCCAAAGCCTGATTGATAGGCAGAATACTGAAAGTACAGTAGACTCCCTCTCATCCGGACTCCTCGGGACCGATAACGGGTTTTCCGGTTAAACCGATGTTCCCAAAAATTTTTTGTATCACAAGTTTATGAAATTAGTTTTTTTTATACCATTGATACCAACAAAAGATCTAGAACAAAAATATTATTAAATCCTGCCATCCTACAGATTGAATTTTAATTATTTTCTTAAGTTGTTTACACATAGGCCACTACTAGGTTAAATTTTCCTGTTTTTCTAAATAATAACTATTACTTTACAAATTATTTTTCTTCACTTTCAATCAAATAAATTCATCTATCTATCATTTAAATAAAAAAAAATTATAAGTAGTCAGGACCAGTGGAACCATGCGACCAGGGTATTTATGCTTTATGCTCAGACATGGGTATTTATGGCGATTATACCGAGAAGTAAAATGCTAGTAGTGTCCATATGAAATTTTGTTTAACACATTTTATTATCATTTTACTATCCTTACAGGGTAATGATTGCAAAAAACATCTCAATCTTCTCTAACTTTAATACAAATTATAAATACCCAGTTTTTGGGTATTTACCCGGGCCTGGGGTAAATACCCAATTTATATTTACCTACCCACTGGGTATTTACCCGGCCCACATCACTACAAACAGGTTTTTCTTATTGTTTCTTTACGAAGAAATGTTCACCCAATTATCATTTAAATAAGCTAAAGGATAGGCTACTTATTAATAAAATGTTTACAATTAAATGAAAACAGAAATAATGTTTTTCGTTTGTACTGTAACAATAACAAAATATGCCTTATTGTTTCTTTACGAAGAAATGTTCACCCATTTATCATTTAAATAAGCTACTCAGTTTATTTTACATACTTATTAACCAACAGTTGGCCCCAAACGCAAATCCCGAACATCAAAATTAAACAGCGAATTCTGTTTACTTAGAAGAATGGATTTCAAAATAAATAAATAAAGATAGGCTGTAAATAATAAAATGTTTACAATTAAATAAAAACAGAAATAGGAAAATCAATCATTCTTAATAACATCTACATCCGGCCAGGGGGTGAAATTCCAGGGGGTAAAATGAAGGGGGTAAAATTTTATTTTATTTTATTTTATTTCAACGGACATTCCATTTTGTTTGATGTGGTACTAAAGATACTAAAGGATAGATTCCGGGGGGTAAAAATCCGGCCCTTACATCTTCAGTTGTCTGAGCGCTAGTTATATGAAATTCCGGTTTATATTGGCATATTGCTAGTCTAATTAATCACGCTCTGTCTATTTTCATTAGACTTCCAAATCCGCGGGGGAAAATTCCACCCGCGAACAAACTTTTAAGCGCTCAGGTTAATACGCCATAGTGACGTCAGCTTTGCCCAGGGGGTAAAATTCCAGGGGATACAATTCCGGCGACCCTCAAACCAGCTGGCAGCTAGACTCAGAACTCAGACTTGGTGGAGTGGAGTGAGCGAGTGACAGACTGACAGACAGACAGTAGTGAGACAGTGAGACTGAGACAGTTAAAAAAAAAGTTTAAAACACTAGAGGAAAAATAGGCCTTAGCTGGTAAATTATTAAATAGAATTTCCTCTTTTGGATTGAAAATTAAATCGGTCACACTATCTGCTTTGTAACTATTTTGAAAACCTATTATGGAAATATCGGGTAACATCTACCTAACCTAATTACAATGCTCGGAGCAGTTGGAAGGTAAGTTTACATGTTCTGTAAGCATTGGCCTAGCCTAGCCTAGGCCTGGATTGGGTTTACTTTAATGAAATGATTCGCTGTCGTAAAAACTTACTGCCACCGTCAATTTTCATGACAATGTCAAAATAAAAACAATCAAGATGAAATAGTTTTTTGTCCTAATTCTAAAACAAAATTAAACCCAAAATCTGTAACTTGGGCCTAAAATAGTTTTATGACGTACATAGGCTAGGAATTGCATAGTAAGGTATCGTCATATAGTGTGACACTAAGAGTATCAATAGGCCTACTTAAATTTGACGTACTGCCGGCCGTTTTACCATACACAAGCCAGCCATTTTACTATACACAAAGGGTATTGACGTACGTAAGTTTGAGGTATGTGTTCCAAAAAACTGACTTGCTAGTGCATAAAGAAACACACTACGACCCAACCAAGGCAGCCATCGCAAGGAAAATGACTGCTAAGAGCACTGCCGGAAGGAGGGTATTGTCGGTTAAGGGTGTGGGGGATGAGACGCTAAAATAACTCGCACTACCTATGTCAAATTTACGTGCGTTACCCATCTAGGGTTAAACCTTGTAAATAGGTAGTTGCGGACATCAATATATTTTGAAGGAGTTAAGTTAGGCCAAGACTTTTTTTAGGTTAGTAGCCTACTACTTAAGTTTCATGGAACGATTAATGATAACTTCAATAGACAACTTCAATAGATCTAGAGGCCGCCAACATCTTAAAAAAAGAAAATTCTTTTGGCTTAAGGCTAGCAACCGTAGAACAGCATTACAAAAATTTATTTTTATTTTATTGACAAATGTAAACAGACCTGCAGTATGAAAGCTAAGTAAATAAATCAAGGCCTTTGACCTTCAACTTATTTTATTTTAAGGGTGCGTAAGTATTGCTTATTGTGTCTTTTTCGGTATTGGTTGTTGCAGTTCGTCCCTGAGTATAAACATAGACAAAAATAATTAAATATCTAGACTGTCAGCTGTGCTGTGGTTACCATGGTTATCATAGGTTCTGGCGCACACCGCTGGGAGCGCCGTGTAGTTACGGCTGACAGTCTATAAGTTATCTAATTCTTTTTGTCTATGGTATAAATGGTCTTTACCTGGTTGTTGACAGTCGTTACTGGGTAACTTGATAACTTGTTTATTCTACCTGTGAAAGTTTAGACTAAAGGTCCACTCCACCACCTTCACAGGACGTATTAGGAGAATATATGTGTGTGAGAATATGTGTTGGGTATTGGGAGAATATGTGGGCGTACGTTGGTGAGCTCCAAGGGGGGAGAGAATTTGATGACGTGGCTAATCGTGAGATTTTGGTTGCCCTTCTCTTCTTATTCTTCGTGCATTTGATCTTTTATTTTAAATGATTGTGTTGAAATTCCTTACAATATTATGTTTCACTGTAAAGGTTTGTTAGGAATATAGAAAAATCATACTTGAACAGCATATATATGAAGGTTTTCCACACCAGACAATAGTCCACTCTCCTCCCACGTGTACCGTTGTCCATCAATCATCAAATGATTGAATATAATTGGCATTCACTGCCAACCCTTCACTCTATCTACTTCCTCACACACGGCTGCTAAATGAGATGACGATTCTGGTGTACTTCACTTGGATGGTTCCTGAGTACACTGTACCCTACGTGTCTCTTAAGGACTTCACCCTAGCCATGATATATTCTATCCCCGCATCATCTGGTATCATCCTTTTTATCTTTGTGGAGGGGGTGGGCTCTATTAAACGTTCCAGTGTGCAATGCTTGAAGTAATATGAGGCCAAAACTAATAGGTTAATCATATATTTATTTATTTATTTGTTACAAGGCATGTACCATTTTAGATAATATATACAGAAACAGTTTGTAAAGCAAAACAAAGATTTTTGACAAATATAGCTCAGAACTAAATTATCAGATGGACTTAAAGACTTATAGATTTCACTCACTGGCACTTGTTGCGATGAACGTATCGGACCGTGTGTACCTCAATTGGTCATAACTAACGAGCCATCCTTCGTTCAACGCATGAATAACTCACCTCGTAACAATTAAGACAAGCTAATCATATATGCCGGTAGTTTTAATAATAAGAAAAACATGGTAAGATTAAGTATTTGGAGGGACCTACTGTAGCTTAACTGATCTGAATCATGAACAAATAAGATAACCTGTACTTATATTCAAGCATATTAAACCCGAATGATCTATTAACTGTATTATCAACAAAAATGTTAACTGGTGTTCTCATTGGAAGCGTCTGGGAAACAATCATGGTAGGAAAATAAATTTGGATATAACGAGGTTCACATCCCTTTTCTACAATCCCAGCTGATGAGTGGTAGAGGGGGAGAAGGCACATGGAAATGGGATCGCGAGGATTGAGCGTGCATGTTTTTGTACCATCAACACCTCTTTTCTATCATCGTTGACCCAAACAATAAGACACACCTTGCTGACATTCAGGGTGGAAAAAAAAGTCCTGGACAGCTAAATATTTCTATAAATATTGAAGACAGAGCTTCAAAACTTGGTACACAGTTGCTGGGCATTAAAATAATTTTTACACATTATTCAGTTATGTGTTACCTCCTCAGGGGGACGGCCCGCTAGGAGTCAAAAGAAAATCTTAAATGTAAGCATAGGTTGATGCACATAAAATTAAAGGCTTTGTTGGTAAAATACAATGCCGCAAACCTGAACCCAAGCGGACAACTGAGAAAAATGACAGCTATATTTTCCCACCCTGTATGTATATGATCTGTATATGAAACTGAAATGTCCTGGGCGTTCAAGGCAAGAACTGAGCTTATCAACCTTAACTAAATTTCATCGCTTTGTAACTTGCATAAAAAGGTGTTATGTTACCTATTTCATTTTATATCTGTTTGCCCCAATATTAATCGCAAAAAGAAAATTTTTATTTTGGCTGTCCAAGTCTGACGAGGGTTATGCAGCGGTTTTGAATTATTGGGATTAGTGGACCCTAACGAATAATTTAAAAGATGCTTGGTCAAAAAGATGGGATTTAATTCGGTACTTTGGTATTATCCGGAGGCCACTTATTTTAGAGGGATTTATTTTAGCTGAGACTAAAAATAACTACATTACATAAATAAAAAAGAACATACTTTAATTTACTTAGGGCCTACTGTCCAAATTTGACATGATTACGATTAGCGGCCTTTGAGTTCTTCCTCCCAGAAGGCAGCGATGTCGGCGGGGATTAAGTTGAATGCATGGCCGCCGCTAGCTGCTACGTATACTCCAACAACTAGGTATACAGCGTGCTGCGGCGGTTTTGTTCGGTTGGTTTTACATAAATATGTTTTTTAAGACTTTCCTCGTTCGTTATGGGACACTGATCCAGATACAGGTGCAATGACAGGTGATGCGTGCGCTCCGGTCATCAACCTGACCTTGGCCTACTTGGAGGGGATTTGGTGGACGAAAGTATGACTCATCTGGTATTTTTCGATTCATCATAACTAAACGAGGAAAGTCCTACAAACATATTTATGATAACCCAACCTAACATAACCACCGCAGCGCGCTCTATTAGGGTGGCCTCCGTATAGTACCAAAGTACCTTTAAAATTCATTCAAGAATGTTATTTAAAAAACATCAATCATTTTATCAAAGTTTTTTTTAAAGGCAAATTTTTTTATTAGGCCTATTACTTTTAATTATTAATTAATTTATTTTTAAATATTTTTATAGAGTAAGTTATCTCTAGATTGTATATTAAATCTACCGGTATCAATTAAAATTCTCAATAAAATAATTATTTGAGTGAGTTAAACATGGCTTACCTTCTTGAAAAAATTAAACTTAAATATAAAACAAGATTTTGACTTGTAGATTCTGAAGACTTGGATTGATTTGATTTGACTTGGCTATAAATACTGGCAAGTTTCATTTGTGAATTTAAAAAAGTCATTACTTCTACTTTCTCCTCAATCAATGGGTGTGAGCTACAGTGGGCCTAGGATTATTAAGTATCTGAAGATGATTTTTGACAATGTCCAATCTGCAAACAGTTCTTGGTAAGCAGACTAATAGGATTCCACATAATCAATCTGAATCACCAGTTTTCATATGATATTGATTGTGTCTAGGCTACAAACGGATAAAGTAAAACTTTTAATAATGTATTATTTCTTGGTTTGATTTTTATTGTATGAGTAAGAAACATTTCAAATACGGGCACCTCTACAGGCTTAGGTATTGTAGGTATTACATTTTTACATAAATTTGTAGAAGAATTGATTGAAATAGCAATACCTTTATTTACTAGTTATTTCAGTACAATCTATTGTTCATGCCAACTCGAGGAAAAAACCTTCCACTAAAAGCAAAAAAGTTTAGACCAAATGAAATAATATTTGAGGATTTAGATTCTTATAATTCAAAAACTAAATAAATTCTCTGTTCATGTTAAAGATGATGTAACAAACAGTATAATAAGTATAATATATTCAAAACACCCGTTATGTGATCATTCGTAGAGTATTGAACTTTGCCAATTCTGTTTCTGTAGTGGCTTTCCTTTGTGTTCAAATATGAACTTATTTATCAGCTAACATACGTAGATCTAATTGTAATAACTATAAGCTAAGTTTTTCCATTCAGGTTATCAGGTTTACTTCAATCACTAATCCAATAAATCATCCAGGTCTCAATTTAAAGTTAATAACTTCCATTTGTTGTCTTTTCACAGAATCTTTGGACTTGCTTTTGTCAACTTAGAAGAAATGGAAGAAGTCAATGCTGGGGCTGCCAAGGTTGTTAAACCTCCAGTTCAAGAGAAGAGACAGGAGGGAGATATTGATGTGAGTATGAGAAACATTGATTGATGAGTTGCAAAATAATCTGTAGTAAGATTTATGGACAAGATTGTCCATATACTATTTATTGTACTCACGTCTCCAATGCTATTTCCAATTAATAGGGCTGAAAATATAAGAAAATAAAGGAAGGATCGTACATCAGTACTTACAGTACAGTAATACAGTAATAGTAGAGTAATAATAATAGTAATACAGTAATACAGTAAAATACAGTAATACAGTAATAGTAGTACAATATTTTTCCATGGTTATAATTGATTACCATAATATACCCTGCGTTTCTTGCTTTGGAAATGCCAAAACGTATAAACAATTATAATTTGAAACACTAGATTAAATAAATTACACTCTATGTATTTTCTGGCAATCGTTATAGAAAAATGCTGCCAAGAGCATGAACACTTAGCTTTAGCCCACCACCGGTTACCCCTAACAGACAATATTTTTCCAAAGAAGACTGGTTAATCCCGCTCCATTGTTTATCAAATTCGAGCTAGCCTACATTGAAATAGTTGAAGTTTGTAGCAAAGGTTTTACTATCGACACCATTGAGGAATTTCATATTTTTAAGACTAAAACAGGATAGCAACAATGTATTAAATGAGAAACTAAATTACAGTCCACACTTAATTTTTAATAAAATAATTCAGACTTTTCAAGTTCGTCAGACAAGTTCAACAAACACCCGCTGCAGCAGGACGAGTCCATGTACCAAGGGACAAGGGTTATCTTAACACCGAAATCAGTGTAGGGATGAGCATCGATAGTCAATGTTTTCGAAACATTGATGTTTTTCTATCAATGTTCGATGTTTTTTTCTGTCTGTATTTATGTGTTTTTTACAACAAAATTAATTACAGTAGACCCTCTCTAATCCGGCACTGCACCACTCCGGCACTCCAGTAATCCGGCGTCTTTTGACAGGTGAGGTCTTCCGCGATCGTAGCAAAATTCTTATTATCTCCCGCGGTCACGGAAACGTCATCATCGTCTTTCGCGATAGCGGCAAAATCATGAACATCTCCTGCGGCCGTTTGGACATCATAATCTACTCCCGCGGTCACGGAATCATCATCATCATCTTCAAAAATCATGAACATCTTCTGTGGTCATGTAGACATTATCGTTGTCTTCCGGCGGTCTTGGCAAAACTTTTATAATCTCCCGCGGCCGTGTAATCATCCTTATTCACTCCCGTGGGCACAGAAACGTCATCGTCATCTTGCGCCATTGCGGCAAAATCATGAACATCTTCCGTGGTCATGTGGACATTATCGTTGTCTTCCGGCGGTCGTGGCAAAAATTGTATCATCTCCCACGGACATGCAATCATCCTTATTCACTCCCGCAGGCCCAGAAACGTCATCGTCGTCTTGAGCGAGTACGGCAAAGTCATGAACATATCCCGCGGTCATGTAGACATTACCGTTGTCTTCCGCGATCGTGCCAAAATCATGTACATCTCCCGCGAACATTTAGATGTTATCAACGACTCCCAAGATTAGGGAAACATGAACATCATCGTCGTCATGCCTGATCGCGGCAATAGCTGTTTCCGATCTTCAGAGACGTGTTTTAAGTGCATTTTAAGTGCTTTTAATGATAACATTCCAGTTATCCAGCATTTTCACTCATCAGGCAGTACCACGGTCCTATATCTGCCGGATTACTGAGAGTCTACTCTACTCCTAAACCGTTTGTGATACAACATTGAGATTTTGCAAAAATGTTTATCTTATTAAGACCTATTTTCATTTAAAATTAAACTAAAAAAATCATCAACCATTTCAAAACTGCAGCCAATTAAAATATTTGATGCTAAATTTCACAAAAACCGTTTACCTCACATAAAAATTGCAAGAGACAAAAAAGTTAGTAAATTTTATGTAGTTTCAAACATTTTTTTTAAATTGTTAAGAATGGATAATTAATAAAGAGAAATGTGTTCTTTTCGTAATGCATGACCACTTTTCTCCATTTAAATAATGCTAAGACTCCTTTTACATTGTCTAAATATATTTACAACTATCTTTTATATACGTCAATTAGGAGTTTTAAAACATAACAGCTTATTGAATCATTTGTTTTTGTTACTTATAAAAGTATTGTTGTCTGAACATTACTGCAAGTCTTTACTTGCAGTAATGTTTTAGGTACAAGTAATGGTAAAACGCATCTGCAAAGTTCGCGTGATAGAAAAATTAACACATTTACCCCGATCGCGGACGACTGTGATGATGTTTCCGTGACCGCGGGAGACGGCGATAATGTCTACATACACGGGATATATCCCTGGATTTTGCCGCCATAGCGGTCATTATAGACGAAACATGTTGTGTAATTTTATAAAATAAAAAAGGAGAAAAAAAGAGTACTTATGTTATTTAATATATTATTTATTAATATATATATTATATATACATATGAATCTGAACGGATGGTGTTTTTGGCCTCTGGGGACATCAAAACAAAATTAGTAAATCGGTCCCGGGTCTAGGTCTTACCATGAGATCTATGGTAATAGCTTATTCCCTTTATGGGAAATTCGCTAAAAAAGGCACGAAAAAACTTAGCTTGTTAAATTTGGTTAAATTTTGGGACAACAATGTAAATAAGTCAAATACTTAAAAACAAAATAATTGAAAAAGTTTGAATCAAGTTGTAAAAAAAAACAAATAAGGTCTTACTGAGATGGACAACTTCATCGAAAAATCAATATTTTCAGTATTCTTTAGGTACGGTGTAAATAAACCCCTGAAGAGAATATACTTAGACTTAACACTAATACCGAAACCCCACCTAGTCTGACGTTAACCGAAACCCCCGGTCTGTGAGACCCCATTTGAAAAATAATGGACCCCGCTTAGAAACACACAAACCGAAACCCTCGGTCTGTGAGACCCTGCTTTAAAATACACTAACGCTGGGCTTCTGAGACGGACATGTTATGAACAGACGACCTGTCAAGGTCACGGCATCCATGCAAAATGAACAAATGATATATCAATAGGTATGGGAGGAAAAGGGGGGAAGGTATTGGGGGAATGGAATCTACCAAGTAAACAGTGTTGCCAACATGCGTTTTTGAAAATTCCTGTGGGCCTGTCAGACCGGGGTTTTGGTATTAGTGTTAAGAAAATGTTTGGTCGGATAAGAAAGCACAAAAGAAAGTAAAAAATATTTATCTAAAAATTATCTCTAAAGGCTCACCCTAGCTGAAATAGCACTTAGCAGACTAGAGAAACCATTTCCTTGAATCCAATCATATGCATTAGGCTTTTATTAAACTTCTATGATTATTTATTTATATGTTTGGTTTCAGATCGACAATTCTAAACATGTATTAATGAATATCGCAACTCTCTACTCGGAGCGTTTTTTGAGTGACGTGTGCTTAGTTGTTGGTGGCGTTGAGTATCCAGCTCACAGATTGATTCTCTGTGCGTCAAGTGACGTTTTCCAGGTAAGAAAGAGTCAGTAGAATAGTTACAGAAATCATCTAGTTGAAGACTTAAACCAATTCATTTTCAATGTCCAAGGGTTTTAACACTGCATTTGATGTAATATGAACTTCAATTTTAAAAGATGAAAAATAATACTGTGTGAGGGAATTTCCGTGTGTGTGTCGATTTCGTTATCTTATCGCCAAAGATAGTTCAGCAGTGTTGGGTTTGAATTTCCAGGGGTCGACATGAATCAACAAAATATTGTTGTTCTGAAATTCCACTCAACATTAATTTCGTTTAGAATAATCTAAAGTCTCGATTGTCTGTGTTCAATCAAATTCCTTTATTGAAAATGATAGGGTAACTCAGTGAAACATACGAACTAGTTGTCGCTATTCACTCATTGTTACCCTATCACACGCGGAAGAAAACGTCGTTGTATAATCAATGGTGTGTGATATTTTAATTCAATTTTCTCGCAAAAGTCAATTTCCGGAATTGGGTTAGATAGCCTGTACAGCTAGTTAGGATGCTGAATATTCTTTGAGCAAACTAGGATTGGTATAAAAGGTTATAGGAACTAATTAAACCTGGTTACACTCCGATCACTACCCTAACCCGCAAATGCGCTCGAAACAACAATAAGGTTAAGGATAGATAGCCAGCTAACTAGGATGCTGAATATTCTTCAAGCAATCTTGGATAGATTACGGTAGGTTAATCGTTACCTTAACGCCCGTATGTACCTCGTTCGCTACACTAACCTCACGCAAATGCGCTCAAAACATCAAAAAGGTTAAGAGTAAATAGCCTGCACAGCTAACTAGGATGCTGAATATTCTTCAAGCAATCTAGGATAGGTTACGGTAGGTTAATCGTTACTTAAACGCCCGAATGTACCTCGTTCGCTACACTAACCTCACGCAAATGCGCTCAAAACATCAAAAAGGTTAAGAGTAAATAGCCTGCACAGCTAACTAGGATGCTGAATATTCTTCAAGCAATCTAGGATAGGTTACGGTAGGTTAATCGTTACCTAAACGCCCGTATGTACCTCGTTCGCTACACTAACCCCACGCAAATGCGCTCAAAACAACAAAAGGTTAAGGGTAGATAGCCTGCACGGCTAACTAGGAGGCTGAATATTCTTCAAGCAATGTAGGATAGGTTACGGTAGGTTAATCGTTACTTAAACGCCGAGTAGCGTATTCCGCCCAAAGGAGGCTGCTTGTACATCAGCCAAAGGACAGATATTGGAAGGTGACACAGTGGTTATGTAATATAAGTGTGGGTAAAAATCCTTTAAAATACTCAATTGGCCTTACTAAGCTTTTGCTTTCCTCAACAGCCTAATGTATGCTAACTAGTTTGGATTTTAGATAGCTAGTCGGCAAAATTTCTTTAACTTGAAGACTAATTATTTCACAATTTAAAATCTAAATTAAATTCCAAAAATATCAATTAATGACTGATCAAAAGTCGAAAACCTCGTTTATCGGGCACAAATTATCGCAAATCAATTATTCAACATCGATTGTGAATATTCAAACGTAAAACAACTAATTTCCCTGAATCATAAAATGATGTCAAATAGGCACTATACCTTAGAGAGAGACGTGCCGCCCAGTCCCAGTGGTTTTGTTGCACGTCTGGGCCGGTCATGCGCAGAAACCAGTTTTGGCAGTCTGACTCCATTTTTGGCGGCGGCTCCACCAGTGCTCGCGCTAACTGCTTAAGCCTCGCCTCACCATGTTTAACCTCAAATCTTTGGTCGTTTGTACTACCTGGCTGATCCTCAATTAAAAACATTTTCTTCCGATTTTAATCGTGATATTCTTTAAAAAAATGTGAGGTGTAAAAAAAACAACCCTTACAACTGTAGTACCTCCTACCATTGACTATATAACCTTGAAGCTATTGAGCTATCCATTGACCACGGTTGATCTGCCCCCCCCCTCCTCCTCCAATGTTAATTTAGGTTCTCCTATACTCTTTATCTATATATTAATACGCAAGTAGTTTTCTTTTCACAGTCATAACTCGATAACGGCTTGACGGATTTTAACGTTTGAGGTGTCAAATTTAAGGTATTGTCACACATATGTGCAAATACATCTCAGAATAATAAGAAAAGGGCATCACTTAAGTACAGTTAAGGGCTAAAGTTTGGGAACGGTGATGGTATCTCTTGACATTAGATCAAACCATCAAATTCAATTCCCTTTGTTTAACCAAACATATGGACGTAGTTTGAAATAGTTTTTAAGTTTAACCACAGACTGCAGGACTTACTTCCAGAGCAAAGCTGGAATCTTTTTATTTAAACATCTGTTAACTAAGTCTGTTTCATAGATAAAGAGTTTCCTAGCAAGACCTGACAACAAATTGTTTGTAATAGTTAAATTTATTTATCTTACATCGTATTTTACTGAATTATCATGTAGTTTTGGTTACAGTTCGGTGTGATTAGGTGAATTTTTGAAAGTGATTATTCACAGTGCAGTTACCCGTTACATTACCGTATTATCATGTAATTTACAATGTGTATAAAAATTCCTTTGTAGCGTTTTCTGTTGATTAGTTAACTTTCGTATTTTATCGAAATTTAAAATTAAATTCCACCAGTAAGACTAAGAACTGTGATTGGCTGGAGGGAACGCAAACGTGACTGCTTGCATCAACCTCCCAATTTGACGGATACAGAGTGGCTGTACCGGCTTGGTGATACATGCAATCTCGGACAAATGAACGTAAAATTTTTACATTGTGGTGGCTTACATCTTAAGCAAGAAAAGACTGGCTGAGACAGTTTTTTACTCTTTATTGCAATAAATGAAAGATTCGTTAACCTCATTTGCGGAATTCACCATACTTTCTGGAACTTACTGGAAACTCCTAATCTAAAAAAAAAAACAGGGCTGTGAGGCTTGGATCCAGAAGTTATCGGGATAAAATTTGTCAATTCAATTCCACCTTTGCCATGGCCAGCTCTGAAGCTCATTTTGACAAGAGGGTCACACAGGGGATCTACAATTTCAAGATCCATGACAAGTTTTACCACAGATTAGGTAATCTAGTTCCTCAAGAAGGTCATGATCCTGAATACGCACAGATCTATAAGTACGACGTTGGCACTGGAACCCAATAGCGAATGTAAAACAATTCAAACAAAAAATACAATGAAAAATATGCGGGAAATAGGGTCACAATGCCAACCCATTTGCCCAATCTTTTAAAACTGTGGCAGAAATTTGTAGGGACGAGAGCTCCTAGGAGTCAAGTTAGATTCTTATGTGCATAGACAAAAGAAGGGATTTCCCTCGCTTCAATGATGCTACCTGTATAGATGTTGCAGCTATTTTAAAGCTGAAAACAGAGCACCACCTGGCCAAATAAATCTTTGTTTTATTTTTATTATTATTATTTTTTTTAAACTAATATTGTTAAACGTGAATCTGTTCTAGATACGTCGTAAAAACCACTCTTATGTTCCCAACTGGAGACTTTGTTTGGGGCACCTAATTTAAACACGCCTAAAACAGAACTTATCGTCGAAATAATTTAACAATTCTATAGTACGTTTCGTACTGGTTGGCGTCAAGAGAGGGATTTAGATTGCTACATTAGGTCTGAAAAGCTCACTTTACAGTGTGTGGTTGACATCTACGTTCTCATAGAGGGCACCCGCCTACAGTACATAAGAGATAATCAAAGCAGTATGAGAACGGATCTATATTTAAATATTGTACCGTAGATTACTTTTATAATTTTTTACAACATAAAAGTTTTCACATTTCTATAATCAGTCATAGAAATTACTTTAGATTGAGGTTTTGCTGTTTATGTTTTTTTGTTCTTCATTGTTTTATTACAAGTTGCAGTTTTGCTCAATTTTAAGCAACAGGTTATCTAGTTATTCATTATTTTAACACAACATTTTAAAAGATAATGTTTTTGAAACTTTACAATGAAGTGTCAATAATTATTGTTAAGGGTTTTGTGGTTGTTTGTTGAATTCTAAAGAAATTTATATGCATTTTTTTAAAAAGTTCACTGTTAGAGTGTTTGGTAAGTTTACCCGAGCTCCAGCTGATTTTACCGAGTCCTTTATGTAAACAACAACTTTGTTGTCAACAAAGATACCAAAAACCAGCTGCTTACTATGTATTGTGTAAAAAATATGTGTTATGTCATATTGGTAGGTACCTTTGATGTTCTTGATTGTAAATTAGTTACTGCAAGGTGTTTTTTTTCACAGATAATGCTAAATAGTCCGATGTGGTGCGAGTCAAATAAGAAAAGAATTGAATTGACAGAATCTGCAGAGTGTGAACCGATCTTTGGACAATTTCTTGAATATTTCTACACGGGCCAAATACGGATAAACCACAACTGTATCATGCCTCTTCTCACACTTGGGGATAAATATAATGTTAAGGTCAGTTAGCTTACAGCTATCCCAAACTTGGTTGTAACAAGATATTTTGAGGCACTTGCAGGCTTTCTTAACATATTATAATCTTCATCAATAATACAATAATATTAGTATGGCTCTTAGTCCTGAATATCAACTATAGGATGTATTAATTAATATTAAAACAAAATTCGTTATACAATTAATTAGTATTTTATATAATATAGTATTCACCTCTCAAATCTTATGTATGATATGTTAAGGTTTGTTTATAATTTACAGAAACTTTTAAAAGAGCTCTGGCACTGCTAATAAGGGTATATTCCCCATCCTGAGAAATTTTAAGAACCACGAATCTAGACTTTGTCTTAAAAATTTCTCATGACTTAAAAATTATTGCAATCTTTTTCCAAAACACAAGCAATTATTTTTAACATTATTGGTATCCAAATTAACTATGGAAACTATGATTCTTATGAAGAATGCTGACCCATAAATTGAATCTTGATATCATATAGCCTAATGTTTATACCACACACAAAAGAGCATAAAATCAATGTCCAAATTAAGGGGACAATCCAAAATGTACTTGGACAGCTCTCAACTTAGTGTGAATGACTTTTTATCCAAGTTTTTTGTATAAAACGCATGCTATCATTTGTATTCAGGCTATCATCTTTGGACTGCACCACGGTCATTGATCATTCACTTATAATTGAAATCTATCAAAAAAAAATTTAGACTACATTTTAAAAGTAATTTCTTTCAAATTTTAAGTTTTGGATATCCATTCTTTTAGAAACTGATGGCTGGATAGTTGTTCTGGATAAGTAGACCTACTGTTGTCTGTGTTCTGTGACACTCTCGGGTTTCAGGATCTGGTCTTCCTGTGTGTCAAATACATGTGTGAGCATATCCCTCATGCCGCAGTGCACAATCAACTCGTCACCTGGTTCCAGTACACTCTCTCCTTGGCCCATTACAAGGCAGCGCAGGTAAATACTAAATATTTAAATTAAAAAGAGCAAATTTCTTTATTTCAATATAAAAAGTTTTTGGCCACATAGAATAACAAAATCTGGTTGTATAACCAGCATACATGTAATACAAAAACATAATTTAAAGATTTTTTTGAGGAAGGAGCACTTAGCTTTGGAATTCCCTGAGGAAGAAGTAATGGATACACTTAACACAACATACAAGGTTCACAGTACAATTAATTTGACATTTCACCTCTGCAAGGCAGATATAAAACTCTGTCGACTACCCGACACTCTTTTCTTGAATAGGTTGTGTAACCATTCTTTCTTCTTTGATGTATGTAAGATATAAAGACAAAGCTGTTTGGTTCTGTTACAGTAAACCAGGGACACAGCCCAACAATCCAACAATTTAGGTTGCCCAAATCGTAGATTTTATAGAATCCGGGTAGAATCTGAATCTCAAATTTACAGCTGTTATCCAATCTGAATTTTTTTAATAATTCCAAGTCGAATTCGGGTCGAACCTGAATCTCACATTTACAGCTGTTATCGAATCAGAATTCCAAGTTCCAATCAGAAATCAGTTCCAAGTTGAATATAAATCTAATTTTTTTTATACAGACTACCAATTCCTGTAGTCTAAAACATAGGCCTATTCACCTCAGTGTTATTTCTCTAGATAAGCTTAAGTCTGTATGACTATTGCAAGTTAACAACTCACACTGTGAGGTTAAGTTTACTGATAGCCAAATTAGGGTTACTACGCAACCTAGGCCTAAATCATAACACTTTTTTGTTTGTTTTTTTGTCCTAAGACGCTAGGCACGAGCCCGGGATTGTTTTTCCCATTACTTTTGGCTAGACCTAAGGGTTGTGGCATTAGGCCAATCACTTAAATTAAATCCATTCGTGATTTGGCGGGATTTGAACCCGACATCTCAGGGAACGAAATCCCGTGCTCTACCACTAGACCAGCTCGTTCCCCAAAGCCTTACTTACACTTAAGTTATACTATTGCCACGATTGAATTTGTGTGGCCGGGGGCGTAACCGGGATCGAGTTAAATAATAAAACTACTTTGGTGAGAGGTAAAACAACTTTTAATCACTATTCAAATAAAGTGGATGGACAATATAATAAAGATGGATAATAAAATTATTACAGGCTCCTTTTACATAAGTAAGCAAATGAAATTTATATAAAAAGCTCTAATAATTATAATTCTTGTTGACACGTTCTAATATTCAAACAGGAATTTAATAGTAACTATTTTCATTCAAACAAATGATAAATGAAATCAATTATGATAAAAAATGATTAGGATTAACATCAATCAATCACTGACTTAAAAACGTTAGCTAACCTGGACAATCACAACATTTTAAAGTGTAAATATTAATATAGTAGTCGCCTTACCAAAAAACCGGTGACAGGCGAAGTGTCCCCTGGAACAGTCTGGGGCCAAGTGTCTTCCTTTTAGTCAACTCCAACCTCAGTCCCTCCAAAGTACAAAATGCTAAGTCTACGGTTTTTATGGGTCGATCGATTGAGCAAGGTACGTGTCAAGAATTCTGTCTACTAAATGCCAATGTTCTGACACTGGTATATGAATTGTGAAATCCATTTACCAGGTCTTTTACTTTTGAAATATAATCCCAAGATTTAGAAAATAATTTTTGGTGACCACTCGTCACGTCACACTATGGCCAGGTTTCTAACATAAACCAGGCAACAGCAAATCAGAGTACACAAGTAGTTTTTAGTGTCAGTCAAAGTTGACCCATTACAACTTAGGCAATATCTTAAGTCTATACATTTGAAAACAAACAAGATAAAACAGACTAACTTAACTTTAATTTAAAGAGGCCCCAAAGAACATCAAAGGCCTATTAAAATATGAAAAATATTGAAGGTTATAACGCTAAATCTGGATAATTACTGTAGAACCTTTAAACTAATAAACAATTTTAATCCCATAATCAAAATTAACAGAAATAGAAATAGATAAAACTATAAGTACAGGCTATAATTAATCATATTAATTAATTTGTTATCCACACAACAAATGTCAACCTTTTACTACCCATAAGTTTACACTTACTTGAATGTGGCTATCTTTACCAGTATATCATATTTTCTATTTAATCATCAGAACTAAAAATTAGAATGATACAGTAGGAGTAACACTTTTCTTCTAAAACATAGAACTAATAAAAAACTCACCAATGTATAATAATTGATTTAGTTACGGTAGTCTGGCGTCCATTTAACATACTGATTCCAATTCCAACCCATTTCCCCTTTGTCTCTGTCATACTACCAAGTCACCCAAGACTCTCCAAACTCAAGTCAATCTAATGTTCCAGTTCTAAAATCCCAATTCAGATTAATCGACACTGAACAAGAAGCATGAAAACCAAACCCAACCCCCATTTCGTTCTCTTTTGGTTCTAAAACCGACTGACGAATCGACGATCGAATCTCAATCTCTTTCCGGTACATTTGAATATCGATTCCGAATCCAAAATGCAGTTAGAAACAGTAGATTTGTTTTTGAATCAAATTAAAATCTCTAAAAAGATTCAAATTTGATTCTTTTTTCGAGCTATTCGCATACAGCCCTCCAGTAAACCTTCATATTCAATTCAAATTTAAATTTCTTGATGTAGTAGTGAAGTGATGGATTGGGTTGAATTTTTAGATCGGATTTTTTATTTCCTTCCCGAATTTCGGGACAAGACAGGATGGGATTTTTTACCGTTGCAAAAATGGGTTTGTTTTAAAAATGTTGATTGGATGTTCTTGCAGACAGCAATCATGTAAATAAAAGTCAATTTATAGAGTATTTTTTCTTAGTGGCACTGTTCTATAAAAACCAATAATGGGTAAAAATACCCAGGTAAGTACCTACCTACCTATCGAAATGTCATCATGACTATAATCAACATTTGCAGTGCCATCGTGAACATGTCTCCTTGTCACAGCGCCACCATCAAAAGTCTCCCATTTGCGGTGCTAACCTCAAAATGTCCTGCGGGCACTGAGCCATCGTCAACATGTTTATGGCACCATCGGCAACATGTCTAACAGCTATGGTGCCATCGTCAACATATCTCGGGGCCATGGCGTTAGCGTCATCATGTCCTGTGGTCATAGAACTATCGTCAGCATGCCCCACGGTCATGGTGCTATTGTCATTGTCATCACATCTCGTGGTCATGGCGCTATCGTCAACATGTCCCGCTGTCATGGCGCTATTGTCAACATGTCCCGCGGTCATGGCGCTATCGTCATCATGTCTCGTGGTCATGGCGCTATCGTCATCATGTCTCGTGGTCATGGCGCTATCGTCATCATTTTGTCATATCATCATGTTTGATATACCAAATAAAGTCAACTGCAAACCTTTCTTTATAAATAATAATATAATGACAATTCCAAGTATTTATATTTTTAATAATTTAGTCTATGTTAAACAAAACATTACAAATTTTACTAAATGTCACTCAATACATAACCACTCAACTAGACAATCAAACAACCTGTACATCCCACCAGTTAGACTTTCAAAATTCACAAAAAGCCATAAATATTTACAATTACAACTTTTCAATAAACTTCCCATTCCATTTAGAGAAATTGATAACATAAACCTTTTCAAATCAACATTATCAAGATGGCTAATTAGTAAAGCATTTTTTCTATAGACTATTTTTTAAACACAAATAATTACTCTGACCTCTTAACACTATTGGCCACTAGGAGGCAGCCTGCATGACCAAAAATCTTTTTACAAATTTCCTGAATATTTACAAATTGTTTAGTTTTGAAGCATTATTTACTTAAGTTTTTTATAAATTTGTGTTAGAGCATTCAATCTTAGAATTTTAAATTTAAATATTAGGCCTGTATGTACAGTTTATGCAACAAAATGTTCAACAATGTTCTTAAGGTGATATAGATTTAAGCATGATGTCATATTTGTGTACTGATTTCTGACGTTGTCTATTGTAATTTTATGTTGCTGAATGACAATAAAGATTATTATTATTATTATTATTATCATATCTCGTGGTCATGGTGCTATCGTCATCATGTCTCAAGGTCATGGCGCTATCGTCAACATGTCCCGCAGTCATGGCGCTATCGTCATCAAGTCTCGTGGTCATGGTGCTATCGTCAAAATGTCCTGTGGTCATGGTGCTATCGTAAACACGTTTCTTGGTCATGGCACCATCGTCAACATGTCTTGCGGTCATGATGCTATCGTCATCATGTTTCGTGGCATGGCGCTATCGTCACCATGTCCCGCGGTCATGACGCTATCGTCATCATGTCTCAAGGTCATGGCGCTAGCGTCAACATGTCCCGCAGTCATGGCGCTATCGTCATCATGTCTCGTGGTCATGGTGCTATTGTCAACACGTTTCTTGGGTCATGGCACCATCGTCAACATGTCTAACGGCCATGGTACCATCGTCAACTTATCTCGGATCCATGGTGTCATTGTCATCATGTCTCGTGGTCATGGCTCTATCGTCATCATGTCTCAAGGTCATGGTGCTATCATCAACATGTTCCGCGGGCACTGAGCCATCGTCAACATCTCTTGCTATTACAGATACATTATCATCATCATCATCATCACTCCCACCTCTGTGAAATCGCTTTTGATTGTGATGAATCCTAAATCATATGTAACCCCGTCCTGATGAATGCGAATATATTTGTTTCACTGTAACATAAGCAGTCTTTCAAGTATCTACCTTTGATGGATGTATCCTCAACTGCATCTGCGAACTGCAAGAATGGTTAATGGTTTTTTTAGTTTTAATTTTATATTCTGCAATCTACCCAGTTTTGTTTGTAATTGTTATGTAGTGTTTCACTCACCCATAGTCATCTGGGTGATTCATGGAATGAATTTCTCTGTCATGTTTAAATTGTTTTCGAAGTTTTGTTATTGTATAATCAATAAAAGTTTTGAAATTATTTTGAAGAAATAGTTGGAAGTACACCAGGAATTTGTAATAATTCCTTATTTAGATAGATCATATGCTAAGTAATGATTATTTATAGGGATGGACGAGATTGGATTTTTAGTTCGAGACGAGACGAGATTTTTTATTTCTCATAAAATTTCGAGACGAGATCGAGACGAGATTTCTCTTCTCATACACAACGGGAAATGCACGTTCGAAATTTTTACCTGATTTTGTAACATTGTTAGATGACTGTTTAAATACTAAAATAATGATAATAGGCAAGAATATTTACAATCTTTCATTAAATTACATCAGCATAACATTTTTTTATTAATCACGCCTAACTTATTAAAAATGCCTACGATTAGGAAACATGGTGATATCAGTTAGGATAGAGTTCAACTTATCCTAAAATAAAATAAATCATAAAATAAAAGCAATATTAATTTTTATAAAATAGTTACTTGTTTTGACTTTTTTTATAGTAATAAAACATTCCTCACACTGCTTACACTTAACAAAACTTCTCAAATGTTATTAAAGTAATATTATTAAAATAATGAAAGTAATATTTACATTAAAAGAATTAAAGTAATATTTACATTAAAAGAATTAATTAAATAAGAACGCCTTCGAAAAGGAAACGCAACTACAACACGCTCCTGTATTGCGGGTATTGCATTGACTTTCTGCAGGAGTTTTTAATTTTTTTTTTTTTTTTTTTTTTTTTTTTATTCTTGTCTCGATAAAAATCTCGGCCAAAAAGTAATCTCGTCTCGTGTAACGAGATTGAAAATTTCCCGAAAATTTCCCGAAATTTCGAGACTTGACCATCCCTATATTTACCATACTTGTACAGGGATTATTTTTAAATTTTAATATTTTATTTTCAATTATGTTTAGGCCTGTGAAAATTTTGTGAAGTGGAATTTCCAATATGTTGCATCAACTTCAGATTTTGGCAACTTAACCCCTGAATTTTTTACAAGACTGCTGAAGCAAAGTGACATTGTTGTCAAAAACGAGTTTACCGTCTATGAGTAAGTTGTTAAACATCTTATAATTATGCACCTAGTTGTGTGATGAATATTAAATAAAAATTGTCTAATAAAACTTAAATATTATCTATACAGATAATGATTTAAATATTATACGATTGACGACAGTTTTGCATGTTGCTATTTTAGAGTATAAATATATTACACACAACTTTTTACATAGGCTAATTTTTATTTTTTTCGTCTAGCCTATAACATTTTTTTCTGTGTCGTCAAGTTCTATGTTGAATAGAGCAAGATTAACAAATTGCTTTTGAGGTTGTAAAACACTAATATATGATAATGCATTGTAAATTACATCTATACTATATAAAGTCATACATAGGACTGATGCTTACATTCCCTGTCAGATTACTCTGTTGACCTCAAATTACACGTAAATAAGCTTATGAATTGTAGGATAAAACGAATAGCAGTTAACTTACCTTGAAGAAGAACATATACAGCAGACACTATATTTCGTACCCTGGGGCACTTTGTCTAGTGTAGAGAAAGTGATATAGAGGTTCCGTTCGGAAAACTCTCCCGGTGCTACTTACCTATCGTAAATTTCAGGTCTATCCATTCATGATGCATTATCCAACTAATCAATTTTATGCTGACTAGATAAATTTGTGTTCCAGGTGTGTGGTGTGTTGGCTAGATGCACAACAGAGAGTGTTGGAAACCAATAAGGATTCAGATGTTGAATCCAAAATGAAAGCACTCGTACATCAGGTTAGTTAATTATCTTATCTATCTTATCTAACAGAGGCAGGCCAAATCCATGAAGAACTCCATACGAATAGTCAAATTATAGCGCACCCCAGAAAGTAGTTTCATTGATAGACCGTACAGATTCAAGCATCCGATGAATGCCTGTAGTCTTCCAATCAGTTCCTCCGCAGGAAGTTATCTGCCTCTTACCAAATTGCCAAGAGATCATCCTTCTAGCCTCAGAGAGCTGTTCGCAATCAAAAAGCAGGTGCTTGGCTGTTTCCTCAATAAAAACTGGTTGGCCATCATACAAGCCCACCCATTGAAAATATTTCCTGAACCGCTCATGTCAAGTAGTCAGTTCTACTGTTAGATTGATTCTTCGCCTATCTAGCGTCAAAAATTCTGAGGCAACCCATTTGGAAGGCGTATGAAGAATGAGCTTGCTAACTCTTAGGAGCGGCATTTCTACACAACTTTTCCTGTGCGTTTCAGTGGCCCATGACGCAATAGAAGTTTACGCACACTTGCGAGATATACCACCAGAAAGGTTGTGGGCCAATCATATTTACCGCTGAGGCAACATTTGCGAGTCTGTCCGCTGCTTCATTTGCTTCGATGCCTGAGTGTCCAGGCACCCAGCAAAGTGTAAGATCATTCCTCATACCCAATTGAGACACAGAGACAAGACTATAATAATATTAATGATACTGAAGAATAATTGGATTTGTAATTTACTAACAAGAGAACATAAATGTTGAATGATTTTTACTATATTGACTATCCAAACATTTAACCTAATTTATCATAGTTGTAATTTTCTCATCTTGTCCAGAATGTATTACGTTGCCAATTTATCTGCTTTGTAGGTGATGTCGTATGTTCGGTTTCCAATGATGACGCCTCGGCAGCTTGCCGAACTCCTCCTCTCACCGCTTATAAAAAGGCATAAGGAGTTTTTCATTGAAAAGATGGCTATTGGAATGTCCTACCACAATGGTAAGTCAATTTATTTCATTTTCAGTGATAAAATCCTAAATAAAGTTTACATTATCAACTTGCGACTACGGATGTGTCAATACCGATTCCTGATACCACCGACACTTGGATATTGGTATCGGTATTGCGCGATTGTGCAAGACAACGATGACATTTCGTCGGGTCGATGATGATGTTTACACGGCCGCAGGAGATGATCAGACAACTTAATTACTAAGCAGGACCCTGTCCTCCAGTACACCACACTCACCATTACACACAAATCTGCCCCCTGAATAAGTGCACTGGCCTACTTAAAGCAACAGCCTTCTGTAGGTCAGCACAAGTTATTGTTTAACAACACTTCCGGACTACTCGCATAATATTGTCAAACACTTTCTCTTCACAATATTTTACCCTTCCTATTACAACAGTCACCATGTTTTTCTAATACCTCCAGTCCAGCCACATTTCCCATGCAGCTAGGTGGTTATGCTGAATCTTGAATGTATCAAATATAAATAAAAAACAAATTTGTTTCAAATGGGTAGCCTCCGGATTATCAAGTTACAATTAAAGTGGTTTAAATACCTGTAATGTTTATAATCCAAGTGGTTGTGTAACAAAGACTAACAACTAGTTTTGGCTCACAATGGAGCCTTCTTCAGTTTTTCCCAAGGACATTGTCACTTATTCTGAAGGTGTTTTAAATGTTTTTTATGTTATGTAAATATTTGTGAACTTTGACGACCTTCGGAAGAAGTGGCAATGTCCTAGGGAAAACCTGAAGAAGGCTCTATTGTGAGCCGAAACTAGTTGTTACACAAACACTTGAGTTATCAACATTACAGGTATTTAAACCACTTTAATTAAAAAAACAACAGTTGCAGTCAGTATTAGGTCAGTCTCAACCACTGTGCTACTGTAAGCTTCAGATCTAGAATCGATTAACATCGAATCCAAAAACGGGAAATTTTAAAATAGTCATAACAAACCAAGAAAATTGTACAAAAAAAATTTACTGTTGAAAATGTGTTGGTCAAGAGTGGAAAAATATATGAGAAATGTTGAAAATAAGAATACCGATTTTATTTTAAGCTGGAAATTAAAAAGCACTTTTTAAAAATCACACCAGCTAAGTGCTGTCCATTGCGTCTAACACATTCGTTCAACCGATCTTGAAGGCTTAGCATTGTGTGACGCAATGTGTCCTCTGGGATGTTGGTGACCTGGTCTTCGATCTGAGTCTTGAGCTCAAAAAGATTTCTTGGCCTAGTCTGGTACACAACTCTCTTTAGATGTCCTCATAGAAAGAAGTCGCATACTGAGAGGTCTGGAGTCCATGGGGACCAAGGGATGTTAGCGTTCCTTGAAATTATGCGCTCCCCAAACAAACGTCTCAATGCACTGCATTAATGCAGCCATTGACAGATTGGCAATGTGTGAGTTGGCTCTGTCCTGTTGAAATCAGGTTTGCTGAATTTCAATATCTGGTAAAGCATGAAGCCGTGGAGAAAAAAATTTCTCCAGCATATGAATGTAATGTTGAGATGTGACGGTTACAGTGTTACAGTAGAATGTGACGGTTACTGTGGAATGTGATGGTTACATTGCAATGTGACGGTTACAGTGGAACCATTTTTATCTTTAAAAAAGTAAGGTCCAATCACACCACATCAAGACACTGTAAACCATAAAGTAACTTTGAGGCTGTGTAACGGACGTTGATGAAGTTCGGCGGGATTTCGTTGAGCACAGTAACCCATGTTCTGCTTATTGGCATGTCCATTTAAATGAAAGTGGGACTCGTTAGACATCCAAACATTTTCAAGGCAGTTTGTGTTGTCATTGATTTTAGTCAGTAGCTGTTGACAATAGCTAAGCGTAACTCACTGTCATTTGGTTTTAGATCTTGAACAATCTGAAGCTTGTAAGGATGAAACGTCAGGCTTTATGCGATATTCTTTGCACGCTCCGACGTTCAAGTTGCAATGTGAGGCAATTTTTCGTACAGAACAACGCGGACTCTTTTCCACTGCGACTCGCACTGCATCAATGTTTTCTGGGATTCGAACAGTCACTATACAGCCAGGAGGTTCCATCTTTAAGGCCGAACCAGTCTCTTCAAAATTCCTAACCGAAATTGATATTGCATGCGAAGAAGAAACTCGACCGCGGGGAGGAATATCATAATGGTGTCGGGTGCAGCTGTTGCACAGTCGCCATTTTTGTAGTACGCTCTCTCGGCGACTGCATGCTCCACACCTCTCCACTGCTCCATCTCAACTAAATGTCCGTTACTACTTGGCGTCATGACTTCCATTTCCCATTCCTATGAGACTTGCAGGTGTACCAACAACTTCATAGTTTCCCGTTTCTCTGCGCCACCCTGTACCTGATGGGTACTAGTTTTGTTCCATACATTGGTTGGTGGAGCTTATAATTTTTAATTCAAAGTCCTTCTTAGATCCTACTGAAGTGTTTTTTGTTTCTTTTTACCTTACAGTTCTGACAAGTGTGTTGGTGTGTGTGTGTGTCTTAACAACTATTCAGGAAACTACTCACTAAAACACAAATCACTTTGTAAGGTTCAGGAAGCATCAAAATAAACATTTGTAAAACTAATCATTTGTAACATAAACGTTTCAAAAACCTAAATTCTTTATTTTAAATCAAAATTTATTGTTAGGGAAGATATAAAAAAATTATAAATACTTTTCGTTATATAGTAATATAGTAGAGAACCATTTTATAGTAAGAGTATATTTCACATCTTTTTTAGACAAGCTCAATATTAACGATCAACTTTATATGGTGGGGAAACTGAGGTTGGAAAATGAACTAATTTAGCTATGCAAAATTTTATTAAAATGTTTTGTAACCATATTAAGACGTTATGAATTGATGAGGCTCTAGCTACTGCTGTAAGCAAGTGATGTAACAATTTTGTGTCAATAACTATTTTATCCAATTGAACTTATGTATTGAAAACATCTGTTTTTTGCTGCAATACCTTACCCATGTACTATATTGATAAGGGGAAGTAAAATGGATAAGTTATTTAATATATTTTGCTTATGATTTCCTACTTGTTTCACAGATCAGATAGACAGGGTACGGGAGGTTGCCCAGACTTTTGATGGCAAATTAATGTTCACTCCGAGGCTATACACGAATGAGAAATGGTGCACATCTATGCTGCTGGAAAACTACCCTCAAGTGCAACCTTACCACATCAGAACATTAGTGTTGTCCAGCCACGCTCTGTATGCTGAACATGGCGGAGAGAAGACTTGCGACTGGGTCAGTCTATTTACAGTAGAACCTTGATTATCTAGGGTAATGGGTGGGGGGGGGGCCACAGATAACTGAAACCACAGTTAATCCAACATGACATAAAAAAACCCTAAAATTGTAAAAATAGACGTTAATGAGATAATTAGCATATTACCATCATCAAAATATAATTAGTAGGCTACTGCGAAATCATATGTTATGTCATTAACCTTGGTTCAGTAATAAAAACTGTAATGTTTAAAATCACAGCTTTCTCAAACTTTTACTCCAACACAAATAATTCCAAACACTATACAGCAATAAATCACGTAAACTACAGATTTATAGAAATTCGACACTCCTTGTAGTTCGACAAGGGCTGAGCTATTCTGTCAAGTCATATTTAATGGTTACTAATGTGATGTAAGCTGGCTTTAACATTAATTTGTCATTTATTGTTGACTTGAGTGAGACTTAACTAAACAACAGTGAAATTAATAAGCTCTTTATCACTTAATACATTTGGGTGATTTCTATATAAGACTTGTGTTTTTACTTTTTTACTTTCCTGTACATTAAACTCCATTCCATTTACTGCCTATAGTTCGACATTTCGATAGTTCGACACCCCTTAAGTCCACAACGTGTCGAACTGCTAGTGATATTCTGAGCTGTCGGATATCATTTGGCAGAATGATAACCGGTTCTGACTGTGTCAGCCATTTGCCATGTTAGTCCATAATTTAAATTACACTCAAACTACCTACCTCTGAGATCTTAAGTTTTAGTTGGTAATTAATTTTTACTGTATACTTATGTTAGTGAGTAGAGGGGCCTTGCCAGTCATAACATTTTCCATATATGGCAGAATTATCTTATATAAGAAACCCATTTTTTGCAGATCGTAGATGTCTACCCTAAAGGAGTGTGGTTCAGAAAGTTCTTTCTGATTGTTTGGCAAGGCACGGTGGAAGTGCCAGAAAGTGTCTTAAGAACGGTACGAGTGTCAGTGACCTGTAAAGATCCCCCAGGAGACGGGCTGCCTCTCCGAGTGAAAATAGGCCTTCTAGTCTGGGGCATCCAAGACGGTGTCGAACATGTTATGAGTGTCATCACTCGTAACCATATTTTCAACGAGGAGGAAAAGGTTAGACCCAAAAATTCAAATTTAAACTCTTTATAAACTAGTAGTATAATTTTTGTTCATAGATAGGAAATTTGTCAATTTGAGTTACAATCAAACAAATTAAAATTATAAAAATGTTAGTCACAAAAGTAAAATAAATTTATCATTTGACAATTCTTTAAAACTAAGTATAAACTGCATTAACGAAAACCAATCTGGTATGTATCAGGAAAGGATATATTGCATATGATTTGACAGTCACAATAAATGACTTGAAACTCTTTTAATAGTCTAATCTACCTTTTAAAATCATCCAGAAAAAATTCTTCAATGGTATAGTAAAATATTTCCAACAATAATTGATATACAAAGATTTTAAGATATTTTTTGAATACTTTTCCCTTGTTTTAGCAAATTTCCCATATAGGGAATAAGCTATAACCGTAGATCTCATGGTAAGACCTGGACCCGGGACCGATTTACTTTTTCGTTTTGAGGTCCCCAGTGGCCAAAAACACCATCTGTTCAAATTAATTTATATACCTATATTCTATTTATATATAATTTATGTATATCTATTGTCAAATATGTGTCCGTTAGCCCGATAACTCAAGCAAAAATGATCCAATTTTGATAAAATTTGGTATAAACGTGTAAACCTACATTTATTCAAATGAGTTCGGGAACCAGCATGATTGGTCCATGGGAACGGGGGTTTATGGGGGGTTTTATAGCTCACAAATGGGTTTCTCCCATATTTGACCATAAGAAAAAAAAATTTGCAATTTCTTTCTAAACCATTTTGTGTAGCTTAAAAAAAAAAATAATTTAGTAGCCTATATTGAAGCGCTGTTGTATGCCTAACGGTTACGGAGAAAATTTACAAAAAGTGAAATTTAAAATTCCCATGTTATTCTTACGGAGAAAATGAAATCTGTTGTAGTTTATTTGTTTATGGATATATGTTGATAAAATTTGGCAAATTTATTTATTTCATCCTATACTATTGACCCATGGTCAAAACACACTTTACCTTCCCCGTAGCAGCAAACCTAAGCACTTGTTAAATCTAATGTTATTTAAATTGGGAATAAATATGTCTTATTTATGGAAATATTTAAGTAAAAATGTAATCAGACAAGTTGAAACTTGCTTAGTCTGCAGGTTTGCTGCGGCGGGGGTATTTTTATATTTTTGTTATTGCTTGTTAAAACTGTTGATTGCAAAGCAAATTAGCTATTACCATACAGAGAAAGTCTGTCTTGTAGAAATTTAAATAAGTGTGAGTGGCATGTGGAAAAGCTATGGTTAAATAAATTATACAGCTGAACTGGGATTTTTTTTGCTCGCCCCTCCGCTAAGTATTTCAAATACTTTTGAGGGGAAGCGTCCAAACCCTTTATATCTTTTGTTGATGTGGGAATTGAACCCGTCCCTCCTGCACCGAAGTCCGAGACATTAACCACTAGGCTAGCAACACACCCTATTTGATTGATGTAATTTCATAGTACCTACTGCAGTAGTAACATGTTTGGTCTAGCTTTAGTTGCATTGCAGTTTACCTCAATGTGTAGAGTATTTTTCCCTTTCAGAACGTTAAATTTACTCACACATTTGCAAGTAACACCTTGCAGCACATTTCCTGTGGCTAACCTACGCTAATAAAGTGACATACTGATAATAGAACATTTTTCTTGTAGGTACAGCATTTTTAAATGATCATTTTACATTTTTCTAAAAACTTGATTATTCTCAGTAAGGATGGTCCATTGTCATATTTATTCAAACAAATTATATTTGTTGGTAGGTGCTTAATCTGGACGACATCATTTCCTTCGACGAATTGAATAACACCGTAGGAACTGTAAACGGTGAGCCAAGGAAGTCTCCTTTCTTGGTGGGTGAAAAAAGAGACGTTCTTAAAATTCAAATCGTGATTGCACCCCTGACGGAAGAGTGTTGTGTGGACAACGAGGTTGTCACTCTTGAAGCCTTCATGAAAGATTGTGTAGAGCCAATGATGGTGAATGATGGTTAATACCAGTTCCTAATGAACATAGAACTAGTTCAGTGATCAGATAACATCTGAATGTGCACGATCAAAGTACCTGTGAAGCTTTCAAGTGAGATTGTAAATTATTTATTATGGTCAAAACCAATTAATTATCGTTATAGACTAAAAGACTGTTAAGAGTGTTAATGTGAATACTTGAAAGAGTGTGAATGTGATATTTAGTTACCTTTGAAGCCTTTATGCAAAATTGTGAAGAGCAAATGAGATAATAACTCAATACTGAAGTAGCTGGAATTCTTAACATTCTGGTTGATTGTTGGTCATTGTTTTTATGTCATAACAAAGCTATGCTTACATTATTTACATTATTTAGATCATTCTACATTATTTTATAGTCCTATCCTATATCTTTTTTTACCAGCCATTTATATATGTCATTCTCCAAGTGCCAATTTATATTTTTTTTTATTTTGCTACCCTGTATGTGACAGAAGTGGTTGATTTAAGTATTTTTTATTGAAAAAGATTTTTGGTTAGTCATTGCAAAAATCTAAAAGTGTTATGTAGATTAGACTTAAGTTGTTGTTTCTATGGTTGTGTACAGTTTTGTTACAAGAGAAAAGTCATTTGTAATGTCTATATTTCAAGAATGAAATGTACTGTAATAAGACTGATTCCTTTGTACTCAGAGTCAATATGTGCAAAGATTTTTTATATAAAGAATAAAACCTTGTTAAACCGATTTTTCTCAGCTTTCTATGTTTTAACATTCCTGTTGTCAATAGAGATTTTTTTACATTACTTTACTTATAATCTTAATAGTTGACACATTGAATTAGATGTAATCTCCTGTGATCAGTAAACTTGGTTTAGCTGGGAGGTGACAACATTACAGTTCAGTTACATTAGTTGCTCCACAAGGCCGCCTTTTTTCCCGGAGTTTGCTGTAACATGTTTGTTTATTATTTTACCTACGACCGTTTTTTAAAGTAGCCGTTTCAGTTCAGTTATTAGAATTGAAAAGTTTCTCATAACAGCATATTTTTACTCATAACATAACAACACAGGTAACGGACCAATGAGGTTCAAGGATTGAGAGAGAAGAAGTAAAATTGTAATGATTCGAACTTCAACTAATCAGCTGTTAAGGCCAATTTAATTTTTGAGTGGTGCAATTAGTGTTTGGTACATGTTTTGTTGCATCAATGTCAGTTAAATTTTCTACTTGTGTCATTAACACTATCTTTACTCAATCATTGTGTAAACTACTATTGCCACACAATGTGGGAATTCCCCCAAAATTAGTGAGGACATTGGCAAGTTGGTGCCTAATCCCCGTCCATGACTCCTGGTGTTAAGTATCTACTAAAAGGTGTGAGTTAGAGACAAATCTTGTTTTGCCTCTGACTTAACCATCCTGCAGAACCTCCAACTTAAAAGAAAAAAAATATCTCCAATTATTTAACTGTCTTCCAGTTGATAAGGGTAAATTTTCACCCAAAATATCCTATTCAACAACCTTCATGGCCTGCCAATAAGTCAATAAGATTTATTGGAGCCATTAACAACATTTTGTAATTGGTTACATTGACTTTAGAACATAGTAAAGTAAATCAAAATATTGGCATGAATCAGTTAAAACTAAAAAACATAAATACGTTAACAACATAAACACGTACGTTATAAACATAAATTAGTTATAAATTTTAAAAATATATACAATATCTTACTTAAATTCTAAAACTGTGTCACTATTTAAAAGCTCCTCTTGAGTGTAGAATGCTTTTGATTTAAAAAGTCTCTAATTTTCTTTTAAATTGCTTTAAAGGCAGTTTATGAAAACAAGTGGGTAGCTTGTTGAAGAAAATATATTACATTAAAAAAGCTATTTAAAGATTTTAAAAGTCAGATTTGAGGTGTGACAGACAAGGTTATTTTTGTGCCTAGTGTTGTATGGATGGGAATCGCTGGGAAATATTAATGGGTTGTTCTTTTATATAGATAAGCTACAAAGAATGTACATAGATGGCAGGGTTAACAAATTTAAATTAGAAAAGTGCTCTTTACAGGATTCTTGATCTTGCAATCCTAGCATGGCTCAAAGCGCTTTCTTTTGTCAGACAAATGCTTTCTGGGCAAAATGCCAACCACCCCAGAGCCACAAACCGTAAAGCAGGTGTGAGTTAAACAAACCAAAAAAATCTGTATCAAATTTTAACATTAACCTTTTAAAAACTCACTTTTTCCATTCCTAATTTAAGAGTCCTTGGAGCCTAGACGTTATAACTCGTAAAACAATTACAAAAGTAGGAAGAAAAGTTCTAATCCCACAGCGCACTAGATATTTAAATTACAATCACATTGGTATTTGAAAAAACTATTTTTGGATGATAAATGACCCTTCAACAGCGGTTTGAAATAATCCAAGATGGCCGCTAGCCTTTAAGGATGTAGAAAATCAGGTATCTTTCCAAAACTAACTTATTTTAAGCCCTTGTTCCATGATTCACTCATTACAACCAGCCAATCAGAAGGCTTGATCTTGATGACTTCACCTCAATTCGTAGCCTTTCCAAAGCTCTCTTTCCATCTGGCCAAAAACGTTGCTTTAAATTATCACATGACTCTACTATTGTCAGAGAATGTCATGCCAAAACTCATTCAATATAATTGTGTCATAACAAAATCAAAACTCACTCCTTGCATATTTTGATTTTGAAGCTTAATTTCAGGCAAACATCTGATCGGAAATAGAAAATAAATATATCAAGAGGTTCCAGAGACAATTGAAAAACATGAGAATTACAATCAAGAAACATTTTTTGTACATTGTGTAAAGTTTGCTAAACTGCATTGAGTGAGTTATGGAATGGAACGCCTCATGTGTCCTTAAACACGATAATTTGTGTAAATTTTATACGATTTGATAAAATTGGCAAGAATTTGTAGGGCTGGATAAACTTGAATGGGTTCGCAAACCAGCAAGAACGGGTAATGGGAATGGGGTGTTATGGGATTTAAAGTATTTCAAATATTTTTATCTTTGTTTTCACCCTTGCATGAAATTGCCCATTTTGAATTATAGCCATTGTGTAAAGCTAAATAATACTCTACTATTTTGTCAGCCCAACCCTTGCCAATCTCATTTAATAGTAAATGAGTATTGTATTTCTCTGAATTCTATTGACTTATGTAACTTGAGTTCTATGTACTAGTATTAAAGTTCTATGAATGTTGAATTCTAAGTCGATTTATGCATAGAGGGCTTTACAACTATGCATGTTTAACAACATAGATGTAAATTTAAATAATCTCTATTTTTTTTAAACCCTTGTACAAAGGAACCTCTAACATACATTTTTTTTAGTTTTCTTGTAAGTTTTTTGGTTTACATTTTAAAATGTCTGTTGATTTCAGGACACCAATTATTGAGTTGCTGTTTGTATTTTATTCGATTAAAGCAGAACACATTTCTCTCATATTTATATAAAATCAGTTAAGTAAGCCAGGAATTAGTTTGATTTAGCAAAAACAACTCATAACAAATATTATCTAAATGTCCATCTATAAATAATATAAAAAATGAAACTATGAAGCGTCCCAGAACCTTTTTGTTCAGTAGAGGCTGAATGTTTTGCAGAATCAGTTATGGAGTGGATTTCTGTTGTTATGTAGCCATTCATAATTCTTTTCAACAATGAAATAGTTTCTGAATACTGTATGTAATTGGTTTTTATTGTTCCCTTAAAAAATAAGCTTCAAGTGTTTGTGTTAAGGCTGGTTGTTATTAAAGGCTACTTTATTACAAATTCGTATTATATTTTAGGTCCAAATGAAATAGAATTCTCAGAAGTAGAAAACCTGTTTATTTGCATTGTTGTTACAATTAGTTCTTTAACTTTAAATAACCATGATGATAAGAAATACATTTTGCATGTTTCATTTTTTACCCATATAAAATTTTTTTATATAAAAAAGTAAAATATTTGATTTTAAATGGGTTGGAATTAATTAACTGTGCACTATTATGTTTTTATTTTCATAAACTTTGAAAATAATGAAAAAAATAACATTACCACTCACATAAAGAAAGAGTAAGTTATTACAATGCAAAGCTGGACAAGAAATTCTAGCATTGTTATGGTAAAAAATAGTCATTTATGTAATATACATATTTTAGGAGTAAAAATATTTTAAATCCATATAAGCCTTTTTTGTTATATAAGATCACTAAGATTTTTCAGTTCAAGCTGCACAGAATTTCAGAGGTAACACTATAAGTAACAGAAATTATAAGTTTGTAAGGATCGAAGTCAGTAACTTTGGATATTATCAAGTTGATTGTTATCTAGAGACTGTCCTGTTATCAAGATCTAAAGTACTGTTTTCAGATACAACAGGAAACATCAGGAAGTCTGCTCAGACATGAATCCTTGAAGAACCTGCAAAGACTCATTTCATTGCAGTGACAAAGAGAGAGCAGACATGGTAAGTCTTAGGTTTCATAAGGGAATAGTTGACCTACAAAATTATAATGAGAAGTGTGCCATAGCTATTAACTCTCTGGATTTCAAATGAGATTAAGTCGTTTTTGTAATTTAAAATATGAAAATAATACAACTAGAAGATTTAAGCTAAGAACATTTTAAGTTTAATAAAACAGACCACAACATGTTACAACATAGTAAGTGTAGGGCATTTCGACTGTAAAATCACTGTTAAGTATTAAATATGTACTATGGATTATTATCAGGTCAATAACAAAATTGAACTGTAATTGCATTAGTTTATTGTCTTTAATGAAACGTTAAATTTAACTCTTGATAAAATTATACTACAAACAGCATGCACATGGTGACCAACATTTTGATTGATTAAAATAAAGGGGCTAAATATAACTAACAATGCTTCATTTCATTTCATTTATTTATTTATGGATTCACCTTTTTTTACATAATTACATAGATATTACAATACCTATTTGTTAAATAAGCAAAGGACAAAAACAAGAACATACATGAAACAACAAGAACATGGAATGACAAACAAGATAATACTACCGTTTTAAAACAATAATTTATTTGAACCATATATGATTTTCAAACTTATCTTGGATGTACTAAAATTTAATATGGACTTAAGACAAATTCAAGACACGTACGCATGATTACAGGGTGTTTTTTCACACAGCCTTTAATTACAAGTAGACACATTTTAATGACAAAACATAATTGCAGAATAGACAAAACAACCTTGTTGGTATCCCTGTTTTCTTTACTTCATTGTAGATCAGCTGATATGTGTTGTTGCATAGTTATCTAAGACGTTTAGTCTTCTATCTATTTTTTCAGATAGTATTAAACAATTTATCATCAGTAATTTTTTCTACCTGGCTGTGATTATGAACCAAAAGGTCCAAGAAATCTAGTGTAATTGGTTTGAAATTTTATTAAAAGGTTCTGGTGTGACACAAGAGTACAAAGTTTACTATCTGTATTTTCTTAACTATAGATCTATGTAATGAGCAGAAATCATATAAAATTTCTATTATTTTATAGGTATGTATAATTTGTCTTTGTATAATATGTTTTCAAAAACTTAATCTTTTAATACATATGAAACAATCACAATTACTGTTTCGCTTATGTAAACAAATCATTTCTTGACATGCCCAGAAACCTGGTGGGGTTAAGCCATTCCTCCCATGGCTGCCTTTGCTCGTTGTACCAGCTGTTTTGTGGATAACCCTGGTGAGGTTTTTTTTATCTGTGCTATCATTTTAGAATATGCTGTTACAAAATAGTATATTACGTTATTAGTCCTGAAAATAAGTGTTTACCGGACACTCGTCCGGTGGTCGTTCCCGTGCCAGACAAAGTTGAGTACGGGATTACCATACAAGTCCGGTAAACACATTTTGGGCGAGTGACGTACGATAGTTTACGCCATACTACTAAATCTGTACAAATCCTTATATATTACCACCAACTAAAGGACTAAAAATCACTAGTCATGACCTCTAAGAGAGGTTATGTTTTTGTTTATAACCACTCATTGCCACCCAAATACAGTATAATCAGCTGAATGGTGTCCGGTAAAATTCATTACAATTCAGTAGTATGTAATGAAACCCCATTTGATTAAGCTGACGGCAAACAGTTTTTTTCTGAACTAAATCCTTGCGTGGGAAGTTCGTCAAAATAGTGTAGTGGGGCGTAAAGATATTTTTAATTATTCAAGTTACGGTAATGCTTTGGATATGTAAGTTGTAACTTTTCAGCTGATGCAATTCAGTTCAGGGCCGTATTTCCCTAACGGCGAACACAGGAGATGTTCATGATTTTTTCGCTATCGCGTAAGACGACGATCACGTTTTTGTGACCGCGGGAGACGATGATGATACACACGGCCGCGCAAGATGTTCACCATTTCTCCGCGGACACATGAGACATTCATGATTCCGACGTGAACGGAGGGGACTGAGATGACTTGTCAGCGTTCCCGCAAGAATGAATGAATGAATTTATTCCACCACATATATAAAATTACACAACCAAATATACAAAAAAAGAAAAAGGGTTTTATGCAATACTAAACTAATTAACTATAACTAATTAAATATATACATGAGTCAAGGGTTGTTCCTATCTGTTTAGTCCTGGAATTAGCAGACATAGGCTGTGCCTGTGCGTCTGCTAAGTTGCTATAAAGATTGAATGAAATTAAGTGGTGCAATTTAGTTTTATTATTTTTGTATGAGTGGAAAGTATATTTAAATGACTTTCAGCAGTTAAGAAATAGTAATGCAATCAATAGACCCTTTTATTGGCTAGTCTCCTAGGTCTCTTTCGATCAGATTGTTGGAAACAAAAGATTCAATTGATCGAGTTGAAGCAATACCACGTGTATTTCTTAAGCCCTTTAAGCTCCAACCTTTGAAGAGTCAGAATAGAGCTGCCTCTCTGGTGAGAGCCGCCGGGGGCCTCATAGATTCTAAATACGGCCCTGATTCAGTTAGATTTCCAAAATAAATATTCATACATTATGTGTGATAGCTTAATGGGAAAATGTCCCTGAACTCAAGTTTAATATATCACAACAATTAAATATTTCCACTAAAAACTAAATAAACAAAAGGTACTATCACTCATTGACAAAATAGTAGTATTAAGCGGATTTTAGACATTGACATTGAGACCTGGATCTTCCTAATGTTAATGTTACATATGTTCATTCTTTAATATACATCCACATTACTCATGCAAGCATCTATACCACTCATTTTAACACATTCACTAAAGCCAACTGCATGAAAATTGCCAAATTGAACAATAGACAAAGTTCTTTATTTATAATTTCTTAAAGAAATACAATGGGGTCGTGAATACAATGGTGCTGTGTACAGTGTCTCTTAATATGACAATAATTAGTCTCAAACCACTTTTTATGGGAATGGGCCTACTTTAGTGTACTTGAGCACACACAGGGGGAGGGGGAGCACAGGCAAAGCAGCGGACTCGAGGCTCTTGTCTTTTGGCAGCTCTGACACAAATGAGAATCTCGTTTGTAGGTTTTGTAAAAATAATTCAATAGTTGAACACAATGCGCAGGTAATCAGGCAGATATTTCAGGCACTTATATCTGTACATTATTACATCATTTTCATTCAACCAATGCTTTTATTTATTTTTTAGTAGGAGAATTATTTAAATTTCCTAGATCAATTGTGATTATGACTCCAATAAGATTCACTAAGACCATCCATTTTTATCTGAAACTGTTATAAATAAACATTTTTACATCGTACATAAAATGGTTAAAAATTCATTGCCTATTTCACATTTATTTATTTATTTATTTATTTTTTGTAGGAGAAGGGCCTGGAATGGCCGCTCTAGCCTAAGAGCATCACTTTAGGGCTATGTCATGGCTTAATGCGATGAAAATAAATCTGTGCAATCATTTATTTAAGTGTGTAATGTAATACGTACACACACATATATATTTATAAGAGAGTCAAATAACTGAACAGAAACCTCAAAAATATTCCCTGGATTATTTAAGAAAGGTGATGGATGATTGCTTTAACAACCTTAACCTATTTGCAGTGTAAATAAAGACAGTCATACAACAAAATGAGCTACCGGTAAGAAAAATGTGATTGCATCGCAATGGATAAGGACTGGTATAAAGTTGATATCTTTCTAATGGAGAACAGATATGTTTGCACTTATGTCATTTTAAAAAGACAGTATATTTGTGTATTGTTGACAAGTATATTGTTCGTGTTTTAGAAAAATCATCTAGATTTTTAGACAGCCCAAAATTGTGTATGAATTTCAAGCAATTGATTTGATAACATTTTTTTGAGAGGGACATTGTTTTTCCTCGACTCTTGGAAGAAGATACCATTTTCCTCCCCCTATAAAAGTATTTAACAAAGTATTGTCGTTATAATGTACCATTAAATTGTACCAATAACCTTTACAAAAAAATTTAAATCAGTTGCCGTCACAGAGAAACTCTGACTCTAGGTGTTGTAATGTGCTCAAAACATAGTCTAGTCTCCTTCAAACTATGACTCCAATTATCTAATAAAAAATAAAAAAAATATATCAAATGTTTATTGGAATTTCCTAGACCAATTGTGATTATGAGTCATTCAAAAAGATTCACTAAGACCATCCATTTTTATCTGAAACTGTTAGAAATATACATTTTTACATCGTACATTAAATGGTTAAACATTTATTGCCTATTTCACATTGTATTTTATTTTACATTGGCATTGACATTTTATGTTACAGGACCATTTCCTTCGCTTGAAAGCATCTCATCACAACAGAAGCTTAGTCCGTAGACCCAACGAGGACAGTGTACAAAGAGACGAGGAGAAGGTAGGTCACCGTAACGGTTTTTAATAGCAACATATTAAACGATGGTGTAGAGCTGAAATAACAGTCTGACATAGACTCAATAGATTTGTCAAATCAGTACTTTGTTCCAATTCAAGTCTTGGCCTTAAAAGAGACATTAAAATTGTTTGTATGTTCCACCAGCTAGACTGAAAAAAATTATGAAAAGATATCAATATTTTTTAAAATTAACATTGTAATAAAATTCTCCTCATATTTAGGAATTTAGAAAAATTGAACCAAAAGTATAGATTCAACCTGTTAAAGTGATTAGTTAGCCATGTTTTACTCATTGGACAATTTATAAATCTACTGAAATTCTCAACACTTTTTTACCTTCTCCTCCTATACAAAATATCCTATATAACTTTCCTATATAACTATCCTATATGGAGAAAGTATTGTTTTCATCAAAATTTTCGACTTTGAGTTTGGGTGGATATATCAATATTTTTGGGTATCCCTAAAAAAATTTGGTTTTCAAGGTGATGACCGTGTGTGAGTGTTGTGGACTAGGAGGATTAAACATTTTTAATGTTTAATGTTTAATCCTCCTAGGTTGTAGATTTGTACAGAGCTACAGAACACACCTGTGGTTCGATTTTGATGAAATTTCATATGTGGGTACTACAGTATCTCCAGGCTTTAATCCATTTGTTGATATTTTGATTTTAAATTTCCCCATACAAATCCATGAAATAAAAGAAAACTCTGATTTTCAAAAAGAACGCTTGACTGATTTTAATAAAGATTTAGTATGTTATAGCCGTTTTACTTCAAAACAGATTGGTAAAAATTACAGTTCTTACTTACTTGACACTGATACTTGAATACAACTAGTGTTCAAAAGTTATTGCAACCTTTGTGATTTTCCCCATAAAATATCGTTTACTCACTGCTTAAACCTTACGCTAATCAGAGATAGTATGTATCAGTTTGCTGATACTGTTTTATTTTGTTTAAATTACACAATTTGTTTCTGTTTTGTCTTTGTATATCCGCTATAGACCAAAGGGTAGGTTTAACACAAACATGATCCAACGTTTTGACTTGAGTCCATTTTGATATTTTACTGTTTAATAACAATAAAGAATGATTATAAAGTAGGCCAATTAATTGTGATTTAAATTCTAATATACAAACTTTTTAAATATTTAGCTAGCATATAATGAGTTTTGGGGGAAGTATGTGCCATTTTGCTGATACCGTTTATTTATAAATTCCAATCATTGCACAGATGAATAAATATGTTTTAAAATATTTTCCATCCAGTTATTGGTAACTGCTTGGTAAATATTCAGGAAGTCTTGTTGAAAAGTGATCATCATTAAGCTTCTATAAAATCTTCACGTTTCACTTGTTTACAGTCCTCATAGTAGCAGCAAAGCTGGACTTTAATTTCTCACGAGTTGGATTTACTTTGATGAAGGGCAGATCTTCTGTTTGTTTTATTTAAATTTTTTTTAAAGGTAAATGAACGCAAGTAAAGAAAATAATAGTACAAAGTGTTGACAACTTGAATCATCTCTTGTGGTTGAGGCAAGAAGTCTAACAATATCTTTGTAAGACATAAGACATAACATTTTATTGGTCTTCTTACATTCACATGAATTGACAAGTCTTTTACTTTAAGTGTTTTGTCCATATTGATGATTTCAGTCTGTATTAAGCGTATTTATACATGAAATTTATTGATATAAATAAATAAATATGTGTATATCAAACTTAATAAGTAAACACCAAGGAAGGAACATACAATTTGACTAGAAATAAATACAGTAGAACCTCTTTAATCCGAACGTCCAGTAATCCGAATGCCTCATTACTGTACTCTATACACAGTACAGTAGTTCTTTATTGTATACTGTATTTATTGATGTACGCACTGTAATTATTTCAATTGTAATGTACTGTACTGTTTATTCCCTATGTGTACTACTGTATTAAATACACACTGTATTTTACTTTATAAAGCATTTTTCACTTTTCCCTACCTATTGTTATGTAAAAACAATAATATGTTCTGTAATCCGAACTATTCAATAGTCTGAACTACCCCCGGTCCCAATTAGTTCGGATTAAAGAGGTTCTACTGTAAATTAAAAAATGCAGGCGATAAACCATACATGCACTGACTAGACCTACCACCAAAACTTACAAAGTTCATACATGCAAGGTATATAGGTATTTTTACCACACAGTGTGTTTATAGTTGTGTTGTTTTGCAGGAGTTATCAGAGAAACTACACAACGTCTTACTGCAGCTCGAGGAGATCACCAAATGCCCGGTCTGCTTTGATACTTTGACTGGAGACGTGGTTCAGTGCATTTCTGGTACGCATCACCATTTAGCTGGAAATTGGTCTTAAAAATAATTTAACTTTTCAAAAAACTAGACTTTGAATACCTTTCCACAGTGTTCCCCCTTAAATTTAAGCCCTGCACCTGTATGTATTTTCGGTTCTCTCTTGAACAAAAAAAGTAGTTTGTTGGAGTTTTATCCCTGTTTGTATCTGAAAGTATGTGCCCAGATTTACAAATTACAACATTGGTCTGATTTTTAATGGACATGTACAGGGAGCGGCAAAATGATCTGACGGTTTTCTTTGCCGCCCAGTTGAGAGAGTGAGTGGCGGAGGGTGGTGGGAATAGAGGCGTTCCAAAGCCACCATGCATTTGTAGTGGAAGTGTTTTTTAAAAGCGGCAATTCCTGTGTAGCTGTTCACCGTTAGTTCCACAGATGTTTCAATATGGGTCCAAAGGGAAAAAGTCCCAACTCGAAACACCATTTTGCTGTGGGTGAGTAACTTCAGAGCTACTAGTTCAGCATTGAAAAAAAATCAACAGGCCGTCCAAGGTCAGCCCAGACGCCAAAGAACGTAGAGAGAGTGAGAGCAGCTTTGGAAGCTATAGTCTGTCCGTTTGGCTATGATACCCTACCCAGCGGATTAGAAACCTTCTCGGAACTCGACTCAACCTTCAGACCCCATCGCCAGGCTGGCCGTTGATAAAAAATTTACCTACCTACTGTCACAGTCTAACAGATCTGTACCTTTTTTTTATTTTACAGTAAGTTAAAATAAATTGTTCTTTGTATATTTGAGTTCTACGTGAATTTCCAAAAATAATGAGTCCAAACACGTTGTGGATACTTAATATCTACGATCTGTAAGTCAAAGTCGGAAAAAGCTGGTGACGATACAGAGTAATTGTACTACTTCCAGATCGTAGATTAGATATTAAGTATCCACATCGTATTTGGGCTCATTATTTTTGGAATTTCATGTAGAACTTAAATTTATAACGAAAATTTTATTTGAACTTAAAACAAAAAAAGTTACAGATCTGTGGGACTGTGACAGTGGGTGAGTCACTGTTTGTCTCCGGCCAGCCCGACAAAGGGGTCGAGAGGGTAGTTGAGTTCCGAGAATGTCCCTAATCCGCTGGGTATCATAGCACCCACAGCAAAATGGTATTTCGAGTTGGAACTTTTCTTCTTTGACCCACATTGAAATGTCTACTGAACTGCTACACAGGAATTGCCACTTTTAAAAACACTTCCACTACAAATACATCTTGCTCAGCCGTCCACAACTCCATGGCTACTAAATATGTCCGCATATTGGCTTTGTACCGCCCCTATTTGAGTATAAGACCTCAAAGCACTTCCCGGACTTGGCGTTGAAGATGTTCAATAAGCTTCTAACTAGAGTTAGGCTGCTTGAGAAAAACCGCTTTGAACGTGTCTTGGTGCGGTGGCATTTTACTCAATTGATGAGTTTTTTGCCGATTCACTCTCCTCTCTGCTCGGCATTTGTACTCTGTAAATATTAATGATAGTTAAATGTTTTCATATTCAATTTGATGTATGAAGTGATGTTTTAATTTTTTATTGACATGAACAATCCAGTTTTCTCTGGTAAAAGTTCACAACAGAAGGTAAAAGGTAAAAGGTATTCCCACCACCTACTCACTCGACAGAGCGGCAAAGAAAACCGTCAAATCATTTCGCCGCTCCCTGTATGAAAGATATAACATTTAATACAGTACTTCAAAGTGCATTTCCATTTAATTTAAATTTGATTTTTAAGGGTGTCGAATAATTTAGTTATTTTGTCCAGGATATTTTGTTGAAAACTACATTAATCAGAACCCTGTATCTGTAGAGTTGAGTAAAGTTAAAAAACAAATATAGGTATTACAAGTAACCAAATAAAAATTCATCTTTAGACCAATTAATTGTTGAGCATTCGATATAGGATTATGGTATTATAACAACACTTTTAATTAATTATTTGAGTTAAAACATGGAGAATAGTTTCCACAGAAATTACTATGAACTAAATGTTCACTATGTTATACCTGAGGTTATACTAACTTTTAATTTTTTTTGTTTTTTCATAACAAAAAATGTGTCCAATAGTTCCTCGATTTATTATATACTTTATCTATAACAATGAACTTTAAAAGAAAATATTATTGTATTACTCTGGGAAAATATAATTTTTGCAGATAAATACTGAACAAGTTCAGTTGCCTCCATCTATCAGATCTCGGTATTTGTCCATTTCATATACAGTATATCAGATAATGTATTGTTTTAGGGCACGGAATATGTATTCAATGTCGCCGCAAGATGAACATTTGCCCAACTTGTAAGCAACGGTTCCTGAGCAGCAAACCAACTATGTTGAACCAAATTTTAGAGATTCTACCTGCACTTTGTCCATTTGCTGATAGAGGCTGCAAGGAAATATTCTTCCCCAAGAATCATCAGGCTCACTGCGAATTCCGAACCTTCAAATGTCCCATCGTCAGGCTCAATCATCGTTGTAATTGGATGGGTGCTGTGAAGCATTTCAGAGTTCATTTCATGCGCAACCACAACGGACATTATGTGATCTATAGTCTTGGAACATCTAAGAAACTGTTCTACAACAACTTCAACAAGAACTGGCTACAACAAGAGTATCTCCACTCGGTAGATGATAACTTGTTTCTAGTGACCGGCACAAAAGATTTATCTCGGCAGATTTTTGTACAATCAGTGAGACATATTCCCCTTAGAGAACCGACAAACACCTACTACTTTGCGCTCACTATATCATCAAATGGCATAACCTACAAACACACCACAAAGGCAGTCCCTTACGACGAGTGTGAGATGATCAGTATGGGTCCCCACTGCATGGTAGTGCCTCTAGAAGAGGTTGGTGCCTTAGTGAATGAACAAGGAGGATTGGAAGTTACTTTCCAAGTGATGAAGCATAAAAAGTAAGCTGTGACAGTTTGGATTGTTCAGCGTACAATGTCGTACAAGTCTTATGGGAGACATTATGTTGATTGAACTGCAGGTTACACCACTTGCCCTTGTAAAGGCGCTAAAGTACATTTAACTTATTTCTGCAAATTTCTGCATTTTATTTTTGTCCTGATGATTTGGAACTTAACTCTGGTAGTCAAAATTACTATACAGTAATACTAATATAGCGCAAGAAAAAAGTAAACACACAACAAGCGTTTAAAGTCGCTAAGACCCCAGTTTGGAATATATGGCTTATGGAAGTGAATGTGAAATGGACTATAGACTATCTACTGCGCTGATACACAGCGAAAGGCAACATTATAGATTTTATATTATATGTTGCATGCATAATACTAATTTAACATTTATTCTTAAATATTACTGGGAAGTTAAAACTTTGTTTGAAATATCTTAAATATACCCTTTTTGCACTTGTTACATAAATAACTTCTTGATTAGCATTGTACGTGTTATCAAATTACCTGAAAGCACAAAAAATATGTCAAATAACACTTATAATAATATATTTACACTTATACTGTTTACTCAAAAGCCAGTAGGCCTAAATACATATAACAGATGGTAAGTGGTTACTATCTTACCACTTACCACCACTTACCATCTTTTATATGTATTTGTCGTCTTGTAAGTAAACAGTATAAATGTAAATCTATTATTATAAGTGTTATTTTATGTATTTTTTGTGCTTTCAGGCACTTGTTATATACACAAAAATAAATTATAAATCATCAGATGTTCGATAAAATGAAATAACATCTATAATTGTTTATCTATTTATAAAACCTTATTTATTGACTAAGGATGAACCTTGTTATTTAGAACTTAAGTTTAATGTCAAAATTTATTTTGTATTTAATACAGACTCAGACTAGGATTCTGTCTTGTATATATACTATTGTTATTAAATTTATCCTACTAAGATTAACAACAGATTATTTTGATCCTAATTCTTATAACTATTTAAAATATGTATACTGAAATGCACCATCAAATTAAAGTTTATCAATCTCACAGTTATTACATTACATATGTAGGTGTAAAATGATGCCAAATGTTTATGAAATATGTAATGAAATATAAGTTAACCAGCTTATTGTTAATTTACATTCTGTGAACAGGTCTAAAATGTTCCCATACTTCCACATTTTTCATTTTGCACTTTTCAAATACTTTGTCATAAATAATTGCATCTCCAATGGTACAACTCAATTTGTTTTGTTCAATTGTTATTCTGATTGGGCAAAGTGAAATGTTGAGAAATCAGCTGTTTTGGAAACTAATCAGGTGAATAAAATGCCACTTTTTATGACAACAGATGGCAAGGATTTTTAACTTTTTTCAAACACTGTCTTAAGCTATAGTAGACACTTCAAATACAAGGTTATGACCAAAAATAATTTAACACATTCGCTACTGAGCGTTGCATATATGCGACGCCGCAGTCATTGCCACAGACCGAGGTATACATTTGAGTTTTACACATAGACCGGCTGTCACGTGGATAGCAGTACACACAGACCTTGGGCGAAAACCTGTAAAACAGAGATAATTTACATTGTAATACGCTACAATCGTGTTTGTATATAGTTTATTATTATGACGTCACCAATCATCATATCCACAGACCAAGCGACGCAGTTGTGCGTCAGACATTTTTTTAGACCACTGCAGGGAATTCAGTGCCTTCAAATAGACCGTTACAAAGAAATAATCATTTTAATAACATTAGAACCCCGACGCAAATATGCGACGGCAGTCTATTTTAATGTGACCAGCCGTCGCATGTATACGAAGGCAGTCTATTTTAATGTGACTAGAGTCTATGGGTGGACACCGGCCGTCGCATATGTGCGTCGCTGGTCCATGTGAATGAAAAATTTCTTACTATTGCAGTAGCGAACGTGTTAATGGGCATTCAACATCTTTTACTCACTGACTGATTTATCATCACTAATTCTCCAACTTCCAGACTAGCTAGAAGGCTGATATTTGGCATACTCATTATTCAGGATAAAAATGAGAAAGTTTAGACAGTTTTCATAATGATTTTACTTTATAGGGGTGCACCCTACAAGCGCTCAAAGTTCTAATGTTATTCTGATGGACACTCAATTTTTACCATTTAATTAGTTTATCATATACCATCTGTTAGAACATTTTTATTTATATAGCATCTGCCTCAAAATTTTTGTTTTGGTTTATTTTTTATCAGGATTGGCATATTTTAGGTTAAGCTATTATATAAATCATAAACTTCTAAACTCTAAAGTGTTGTGCTTGGCTAATATGATTTGTATTACTTCTATTTCACACTACAGCTTATATTTGTTGACTATAATTTTGCTTCAGTATTTATTTTTGTGTTACACACACACTTTAAATGTGCTTGTTTTGTTTCTGTAATTTCATTTTTCTTTCTTAAAAAAAAAAAAAAAAAAATTGGGATCTTGGATTTTTACTTGATAAGTGATAGACAAAGTATCTTCACCTTTTTAGTGGCATTTGGACACCTCCTCAAATGGAAAAAAGGTTCATTCCTACTTTATGTAATCACTGTAATCAGACATTTGATATATATGGAAGGTATCTCAACAATTGTATCAAGTAAATCAGTCCAAGAGTTGTAGACCATGTATTGAGTAAAGACTGAGATCATGGACTCACAGCATACAAATATGTCCTTACCAACCATTGCACATGAATTAGATGTCTGAACTGTTTGGATATTGGTTCAAAGTGACCATGGCATCATGGCCAATGTTTGTGATCAATTCAATGCTTTAATATGGAAAGGTAAAGCTGAAGGGTTGTGTTTGGGTGGGAAAGGGAAATTTATAAAATTCCATTTCATTTACAGCGCCAAGAACCAATGAAACCTAATTACAGTTATTGACTAACCGAACAGAGTATCCTTAGTCTGTGTTACAATACAAACACATTCAGGCAATGCAATAATGAAGATGGACAAAGTAAGAGACACAGTAGGATAATGGGACCGGTGACTGGAAAATGTCTTACTGCACCAACCACAGAGCATTATCAAACCAGACAGCGTGGCTATGTGCTTCCCTCAATGACTGAGATTCGCTAAGGACGCAAAGTAATTAAGTCATGCAGAAAACCGTCATTCTACTCTCTTAACCAGAATACGAACATATGTTATATGTCCAACACCACAAACACATTATACTTCATAAACACTATTTAACTAACCTTTATAATTATTTCACACTGTATTTTAATTACTAAAACAATTCTAGCTTTTTAAACCATTTAAATGCCGTAAGTATCACAAACACACTTGAAGATATATACAATGCACACTTCTTATAACTTGCATAAACCGTAACATAATCAAAGCTATAAAAACTCAGGTAACTAATATTTAAGTAACAAAAATCAATGTTAACTACATGATGGCTAGTAAAATAAAGGTTATTGTCTATGAACATGTGTTAATTATTAAATTTACCATCGATAATAGGTGGTAAGGGTCAAAATCTTACGGAAATATTATAATAATACATTACTCCTCTTAAATAAAACAAACCTAACTTATTAAACAATTTTAATGAAGATATTGAATATCACAAAGACACTCAAAATATATACAACGCACACTTCTTTACCTTAAATACAGTCCACCCAGCCGGCTTCTATAGCTCCAATATGAAAGGAAATAGACACCTATTTGCAACTGGAACCCCCTATTTTGACCCCAAGGAAATCAGCTAAATTATTTTTTAAACCAAAAAGCACCCCGAGGGGCAGATTTTGGGGGGTGGGGGTGGTTTTTGGGAAATTTCCCAGATTTTGGGGGGCTTAAATCGGGGGTTCCAGCTGCAATTAGTTTTCTATTTTCTTTCATATTGGAGCTATAGAAGCTGGCCGGGTGGTCTGGGACACCCTGTACAGGAACATGATAAAATTTTTCAAAAACTATTTGACTATCTATATAAATAGTAAAGAAAATATGTCTCATTCCACTTTCAACTGGCTTTTAAATATTCCACTTCTTGGTGATCTGTATAAAGACAGCGCAGGTCCTGATTGGAGCGGAGCTTCTCACTGCTACCTGCTTGTGTGCAGAACTGTGGATAAAAAATTATTTCACTATGACCATAGATTAAAAGAAGTAGACATGTCTATACTCCTTTTATCTATGCTATGACTCAATAACCAACTACATCTTACCTCATGCACAAAGAATAATTGTAAAAAAATATTAAATCATCTGAACCCTTTAAACATCGGCAAGGAGCCTACAATGACAGCAAACCATATCAAGACATCACAGCAAACAAACATATACGACTGTAAAAATTTGTTTTGGTAATAGCATGTACTATCATTACCAACATCAAGACCAATGCCTCTTTCTCTTTGGAGAAGGGTTGTCTACCAGAATTATTGTAAAAATTGCATATTCAAGCGATCCTTGATTGCTTATGATAAAGAATTCAAGTGGCATTCAAACTGAAGATTTAGCAACTCTTCTTAATACCAAAATTATTCTCGACACTGTCGCAACATACAATGAACATGACTTAAGAGTCTTCCGTAGTGGAAGCCATGTTGGATTTCTTCCCCATAAGAACAATGTTAACTTTGGGTCCAAATATCTCATCAGCAAATTGTCATATAATTATGGATAAGGAGTTAAATCTAAGGAATTGCGGTCCTCTAGAGATTGACGTTTTTTATTTCACAATTTTTAATTTTTATAATGAATAATTGATTATTAATTAGCTTAAAATTAAGCTAATTATTGAAAGAAAATGAAAATGGATTTTCGAAATTCAAAAACCTCAGTCACGAGTCTATTATGTTAAAAATACAAATTATAAATTTCAAAGCTATATCTTAACAAATAACGCCGTTACGTGTCCACAAATGATGCAATTCTAACATTGTTCTTATGGGGAAGAAATCCAACATGGCTTCCACTACGGAAGACTCTTAAGATAAAAACATTAGAGAGAACAAAAGCCCATCGCCAGAACCCACCTAAAGTGTGGAATATAGTCAACACAAAGAATCAGAAAAAACCTACTAGACTTAACTAAAATAATCATATGAATATTATTGAACATAAAAAAACTCATTTTAACAACTCAAACCACTTTAGTAGCCTACTCTCTCTAGTAATGAGGAAACTGAATCTGAAATAACTAACTGTATGAATACACTTCCACATAGACAAAGACATTACAATACAACTCTAGGAACAAGAAAGCTAAATCATAAAGTAGAAGGTGGGGAAAAAGAAGAAAGAAAGAGTTTTATTCCTCCATAAATATACAAATATGTACATATAGAATAGTCATACATTGATGATGAGTAAGTAAAATGTCATCTTAAAGCTTAAACTAACTTAGCACTACTGTTAAAAAGTCATTCAAAGTATAAAATGCATTGTCATACAAATATTGCCTGACCTTATTAAAAAAACAATTGTTAAAGTCTGTGTCTTTTTCTAATAATAAGAATTTATTCATTACTCTGCTGTTGGCACAATATTTTTATAAAGGCTCGCAATGTTGCAGCTTAGCTTTATTTTACTTTTCTGTATAACTTGTCAACACATCTGTCCATCAACTTTAAGTAGATAAAGAGGAGCCCTGTTGTTTAGCAATTCAATTATAGAATAACAATTTGTTGTCTGAAAATGATAGTAAGTGGTTAAAAAGCGAATAAATCAACTTATCATCTATATATATAATACGCTAAGTTGATTTTTGTGAACAGAACTCCTCCCTCATTTTTAGACCGGTTTTGATGATTAAAGTGTCATAAAAATTGCCCTGATCTGTAGTTTTGCAAAGTGTTTTTCGTTTTTTGATATCTTTATTAGTTTGGGCAGGACAGCTGTTAATTTTAAAATTGTGTTTTAAACAACACACATTTTATTGGGAGTTA